TGGGCTACTTAGCGATTTAGTAACCGTAGCTTACACGTGGCACAAGGCCGAAAATACGGAGCATTGAATAAGGATCAAACTCACTACTCAGTAATGATTCATCTAACGAGACAAGCTTTCTAGCCATTACACCATATCAGAGTGCCCGAGTGACCGTTACATTTGGGCCATTCTAATCTCAGCTCAGTAAATATAAAATTTAAAATCGTACACTTCGATATAATTTAATTTTCCTCTCTCGGCAGAAAGTGCATGAGTTTCTTGAAGGCATTTAACAGTGTTTGTCATGTCGGTCATCTTCATAAGTTTATGAAGAAGTGTCTATACTACCATTCTATTGTTGACTCCATTTGGTTACAGTGGTTAAAGTGGGTGACTATCGTCTTAGTATTTGTGTGTGTGTGTGTATGTGTGTGATTTGAGAGTTCATACAGGATCGTTGTGTTTTTGGCAGGCAATTTAATTTGTTCAAGTCATCCTTTCTTCTTCTTTTTCTTCTGGGATTGTGTGTCTGGTCAGACTCACGACCGATGAATCGCCAACCCTTGCGTCTCGAACTGCTACATCAAACCAATTTCCCACTTCTGCTGCGCGCGTGTTTTTTTATTTGTTTTGTTTTTTCTTCTTTTTATTGGGCCTGACATATTTTCCGTTTGATTTTTGGCGGAACATATTATCATTAGTTTATTTTTTTAATGACGTTCACTGACCCACATAAGCTATATTCGGATTCTGTCAGTTATCAAGGATAGGAACAATAGAAGGAAAGAAAGGAAGTATATGCATATGAGAAAGAGAGAGAGAGAGTTTTCTTTGTCACTTTCTTAGTGAAAAGGAAAGTGTACATTTCCATATAGTGTTACTACTACCTAATCCTACTACAAGTTGAAGGGTTATGGTGATTCTGGGCGAATTTATGATTTGATTAAATCTTTTTTTATTAAATTGCGAAATGAAGATTATCTTGAACGGCCACTCTTCTAGATCTTTCTATATAAATGCGGGTCTCCCCCAAGGCACTATCCTCGGACCTACTTTTTCCTAATTTTTATCAACGACCTTCCGGTTTTCGCCTCGGTATCTATGCTGATGACACAACTATTTACTACTATCTTAATGGTAAATCAGACAGTTCAATAAAATCAAATTGGAAACAACCTTCAATCTGTTGGTAACTGGAGCAAAAAATGGATTGTTAATTTTAACTCATCCAAAACGAAACTTCTCTCTTTCAATCGTATTAGGGAACCTTTTTGCCCTCTATCAATATGGTTGATGCCAATTTCCAGGATAGCAGCTCATTACGCCTTCTCAGTCTCACGTTTTCAACTGACATGAAATGAAACGATTATATTAATTATACTGTCAACTGTTAAGAAAGTTGGCTCACTGTCGTGCTAGACAATTTTTCTCACCAGAATCTATCTTACGTATCTATAAGTCTATAATTAGTCTATGCTTAGAATATTGCTACCACATTGCTCCTGCTATATATCTAGAGATCCTTGATAAAATCCAAAGAAGAATCTGCAATGCCATTGATCCTTATCTGGTGTCTCGGCTTCAGTCACTTTCCTACCGCTGTAAAGTTACCTCCCTTTGCATTTTCTATAAATACATTCATGGTAACTGTTCGGATGAGATCTTCGCTATCGTACATCGACTTTATGAATTTAAGCGCAGTACTAGACTGATGACGAGGTTTCATCAATTTGCCGTTGAGTTAACTTGATGTAACCGTAACTTCTATGCTAACAGTTTCTTTTCTCGCTTGTGAAATTCACTGCCGGTTTCATGCTTGCCTGTCAAAAATTTAAATACAATGTCAATCGCTATCTACTGTCCTCCTCATTACTTTTCTTTTGTTCTCGCTCCTTAGTTATCTTTCTGTTTTCTAAATCTTCCACATCCAGTAACTCCTTGTGCCTTAGTGGCTTTACTACCTTGCTTGGGGCGAACTCGATTAAAAACGAAAAGAAAAAAGTATACCATTCGTTTTGGGTATTGAATATTGCTGTCACATCTGGTCTGGTGCTTCTACTATGTATCTAGAGACACGCTCCAAAGAATAATCTGTAATGTTATTGATCCTGACCTGGCATCTCGGCTTCTATAACTTTCCTACCACCATAATGTAGCTTCTCTGTGCCGTTTCTATGAATATTTTCCTGACAATTGTTCTAATGAGCTTTCATCTTTGGTATTTTCATGAATTTAAACGGAGTCCTAGATTGGCAAGTATGTCGCATCATTCGACTGTTGAAATTGCTAGATGTAACCGTTTGTTCTATTTTAATAGTTTCTTCTCTCACACTTCTCTTTTTTCTTTTCTTTACTTTCTCTTTATTCGTTTTTCCTTTCTTTGTTTTTTCTTTACTTTTTCTTTGTTCTTCGTTTTCTTCTTTTCTTTACTTTTTCTTTTCTTTTTTCTTTACTTTGCTTTTTTCTTTTCTTTTTCTTTACTTTTTTCTTTGATCTTTTTCTTTTCTTTAATTTTCTTTGTTGTTTTGTTTTCTTTTTCTTTTCTTTGCTTTTTCCTCTTTCTTTTCTATTTTCTTTACTTTTTTTCTTTTGCTTACTTTTTCTTTGTTCTTTTTCTATGCTTTACTTTTTCTTTTCGTTTTTCTTTACCTTTTTCTTTTTTCTTTTCTTTTTTCTTTTCTTTACTTTTTCTTTGTTCTTTTTCTTTTCTTTTTTCTTTGTTCTTTTCGTTTTTCTTTATTCTTTTCGTTTTCTTTTTTCCCTTTTTCAAATACATGTACCCACTAAATATGACATATTATAGTAATAAGAAATAATAACAGATTAAAAAATAAATGAAATGTTTATAAATTACTTTTATTTTACGTTCCGGGTACGGAAATAAAATTAGCATATATATACTTCAAAATATCCCGACGAGAGATGGGCATTTCTGAGACAAGGTTATTTGAAACTTATTTTGTCGTGATGGCTTCCATTGGAACAATATCTAACTTAAAATTTAATTCTATGATGGAAGAAGAAAATACGGTTTCGATTCATGTCACATTTTCTTCTTGATTCGGTCAATTTAAGAAGACAACAAATGTTTCCATAACTTTGACTTTGGTAGCAGCTTTTGGAACAAAGTCTTTCGTTTCCAAAAATACGAAGAATGGACGAAAAACAAAGAAGTTGTATATACGATAAATAACAAGAATAAACATTTATATATCAACGATAAAACAGATACCTACACAAATGGGTATTTATCAAAATGTATGAAAAGTTTCTTGAGAAATGTAGTTTAGAGTGATTTTATGCTGATTAAAAGGTTCTGTAAATATGTGTATATGTGAAAGATTATAAGCTGATAAGAAAGAGGAGGTTTAGTCATGTACAACGGGAAAAGAGTCAATTAGTAGCTAGAGTCAGTGACGTCTGTTTCTGATGGTTTGTGAGTAGCATGTCAGCCATGTTTCTTTGAAGTCACCGAAACATAATATATATATATATATATATATATATATATATATATATTGACGCGATTGAATTTTCTACTATTGGAAATAAATACTATTTGCAACACAATACCCACATGAATACTATATTAAAGGACGCCCTAGTTTTATTTTCTACCCAATAACTGACAATATTTACAAACCTGCTAAAGAGATTCCACAATCCAATACCGTTTAAATCAAAGTGCTAATTGGTTAGAAATTAACGTCACCATGTGAAATATCTGACCAATCAGAGTAAACTAAAAAACCCTCCTTTTTTTTCGAGCCTACTTTAGGGAAAAGTTCTAATAAAAACCCACAGATTTTACTTTCAGGGGCAGGAATGCGACTATTTCCAAGTCGTTTACGCACAAGAGAAGACGAGGCTACATCGCCTTTTCCTCTCCCATGCCCCCAGCAAACTCGGACGGTCAGTCAATCTTCACCGACGATCAAAGTCTTTTTAAAACCACATCTAAAAACTATTTTTACTCCTTTTTAACTCTTTTGAATTCATGTATATATGTTTGTAAATACAAATGAGTTCTTTAAAAGTCATACACATGTTTTTATTTTTATTTTATTATTGTTTAGAATTCTGACATTCATATTTTTAATATAAAATATGTGGACGACAGTATTTCCTACACGACTATTAACTTTTTCAATTATTAACTTGGTTTTCATTTTTTAAATTCGCTCATCTAACTGGATGTAAGTGAGTTCGTTTTTATTTTTTTTGTTTAAAACTATCTAAAATCATTATTCAACAACGTAAAAAAATCTCTTTTTAAAAGTTTAACGTTAGTATTATCTTCCAAAATTTATTTTTGAGTTTTATTGAATTGGGGAGGGTAGAAGTGTAATTTTCTGTATGAAATAGCATAATATTTTTCTATTGATATAACGTCTTCAGGAATTCTAACAGTAAAAAAATAAAAAATAAATCGCAAACACATCACAAGTTAAGAAGTATATTCAAGAAATCGAAAAGGGAGTCAAACAAACACCCTAAAATATTTTTGAAACGTTTTCTAAAAAAAAAAAAAAAAAATAACCTATTTAGTATATAATTACTTCATTAATGAATAAGTACTGAAAAAAATTCGGACAATTCTGTGATTTTTGACACTTTTTTAAAACAATGGGTAGAGATTTTTTTGCCTTCATTTCAGAAAAAAAACGCATCCATTTTCGTACCTATGTATCGAGATGTCACTTTGTTTTGTAATATCACTTTATTTTCCTTATAAAATTTACTTGTACTTACAAGTAAAGTTTTTTTAAAATACAATAAAGATAACGAAGAAGCCTAGTTGTTATTATTTCGAGCAATTCATAACCAATGAATGGAAAACTAAGCGCAACTTTGTAACTAGGCACGCTAAAATTACCTTCACGTGGAGAGTAGAAACTTCCGCTTGCGCAGGCGCGGAAGTTTGCTTTATCCAGCATGGCTGTATAGTTATTGTAAATCGTCAGTTGCTGAGTAAGAATTAATTCAAATATCATTTATCTCGACAGTTCTCTTGAATTTTGGTACGTAAAATCTCATATATTTATTATTTTGCACTCTCTTTAATTTTCTAGAAATGCGGATTTTCCCGTATTATTATATTAAGTATATTTATGCAGATAAATTTTACCACGTGTTACACAAGTTCTTCGTCAGTTATTTTTTAACTTGTGTTTTAATTATGGTTTATTACATTAAATGTCTGTTGCTGAATATGTAGATCAGACTGGTTTATCATTGCTTAAAGATTCCAATTACTATTTCTCTTATTGATATTTAGTAGTATAGGCTTCTTAGTTAAAAATACTTTCGATTTCCTGTTGAAATCTGAAAACTGTCGATTCCTTGTTATTGAAACTTTTTTTTAAAAACATTTCATTATTGCTTATATGATCATTTAAATTATTCCTTAATTCGAATTCAAACGTGCTGGAAGTGTACCCGAAATTTAAACATGTCTCGTATGCCCGGATGAGTGTTTGGTAGTGTTTTGTTTACACTTAGTATTTCCAGTTAGTTACTGAATCCTAAGTGCAGATAAGTACTTTTTCTACGAAAATAACACATATTAAATTAAAATGTTATTTATTAGAAAGAAAATTATTATTCCGAGTGATATGAAGTTCAGATTATTAAAATTGCCTGTTGTCGAATACTTGTCCTCAGACACAATCAGGTGACTGTCTTTGTTTTTTTCCTAAATTTTGTTATTATTTGCGATATCTTTCTCCTCATCTTCCAAAGTATAAAAACGTATTTCGTATTTAAGTATGGACGTCTTAAATATTTTTCTTCATAACCGGCTAAAAATGCATATTATGGCACTAGAATAACTTACAAAGGGCATAAAAGGTTATTCATTTTTTTTTTTTTTTATTTATCTAAATTTTATGGACCATTGGAAGCAGGAATTAGAGAGAATCCGATATGAAAATTATTTCCATACAGCATTTTTAGATACATTTTTGTTTGAAGATGCTGTTTGCTTATTAATTTTGTTAAAAAAAAAAAAAATTAGCCAAAATGCGTACGTTATTGTTTAAACGTTTCAAACGATTTTCATTACTCATTGATTTTTTTTTATTTCCCCGCATTGGACATAAACGAAACTCGTGTCCGAATTTTTTGGGCTATTTATATTTATTTTTCAAATTCTACGATTGGTCACGAATGGTACATTTTTAGATCCCATTTTTAACTCATGGAAGTCGATTCATATTGCATTTCGTCTTACTCTTATTCTTTATTATTTCAGTTGCGTGGCTTTTCATCTCGAAAGGTGGAGGGTTCAGAAAATGAGTCTTACTTAAAGTTAACCTCCTGTTCGGGACAAAAATGACTTTTTAAAGTATTATTAAGAAACAGAAACCAAAAAAGAGTATTGAACTGCTATATATCTGTTCTCCTATAATGGTAGTGTATGCTGAACAATCTCCACACAGAGGACGAGACTTAAAAAGCAACAGAAATGTGGTTCTACAGAAGAATGCTAAGAATTACCATAGGCCGAACATGTGAACAACAACGAAGTTTTAGAGAAAATAAAAACAAAAGGAAACTTATACTTAACATTAACAACATGAAAAAGCAATAGTTGAAAAACTTGAAATTTCTAGGGTACATAAAAGAGAGCTTGGGAAATTTTATACTCGGGCCAGGAGAGATTTAGGGACAGGTTAACACATAACCTACCTAGCGAATTTTAAATGGATGGCAGAACAGAGTTTAAGAAAGAAGACAAAATTTATTAAGATCTAAAGGACAGAAAGTTGTGGAAAGCCATGATCACTAAATTCCTGATGGGACACGGTACATAGAAGAACGATGTTATGTTGTTGAATTTAAAAAGTAAAGCAATTATTAAAACCTGGGCGTTGTGTATTTCGTATATGCGTTTTTTTCCTTGATCATAATCATGGAAGCCCACCAGCTTTTTCATTCAGTTTTAATTTGATCAACAATTCTAAATTTTCTGAGGTATTTTTGAAGAATCGGTCATTGTCTAAGTTAAAATACAAAGTATTCATTGAAAAAATCTACACAGTTATTTCTCTTTGATAAAAAAATTGAAATACTGTGTATTTGTTATATTTTCTGTTGGTCACCATTTGTATTTAGAAATGTTTAAAAAAAATAAATGAGACTCTTCCACCAATTTTTTTTTCATAAGGCTAGTACGCAATAGAAAGATCCTAGAATTAAATCTGTCAACGCGTTGTGGTAATCACAAAAAGAACGAGCTCAATATTCCAAACAACTGCTTTGAAATGATTATCATTTTAAAATGACAAGTTTTGATTTTACAGATCTAAACAATTTTCTCATAACAAATACTGAATTATCTCCCTTAACTAGCCTTTTATTCTAGCTTTATATTTCTGAACCCTTCATATGAACCCAACATTTTTTTTTTTTTTTTTAAATTTTAGACACTATTTTCTTGTTTAATTTTAATGGAAGGCTCAGAATACGAGGTTAGTAAAAGAAATCTAAGAGAGGTAATTCAGTGTTATGGGAAATTAGTGTAGAACAGTAAAAATCAACAATAGCTGAAAATTGTACCTTACAAGCTAAAGCCTTCTCTCATATGCCGTAGCCATGCTCTACTTGAAAGAAGTGTTACATAAAGCAAATCTATATCATTAATGGTCATTGTGTCATATTTTTATCTATGATGAGTCCCAGATACTTGATTTTCATTGATCAAACAGAATGGTAGTCTTTAAGATCAGGGCCGGGTTAGAAGCAGCAAGATCTGCACTTAGGTCCCTTAAACACTTCGTGGAAAAGACTGCACTCTTCACAAAAGCATTAAATTGCAGCTCCTGAAGACCCTGGCGTGTTTGCTGGCACTGTGTGGCTGTAAAACTTAGACACTGAAAACCACCAATGTTAACAAACTGACATCTTTTGAGATAACATGCTACAGGCTGACACTGAAATGTGCCGGTGTTAACAAACCAGAATCTTTTGAGACAGCGTGCACTGTGCATCAGCATGATGGACCCCAATACAAATGAGTCAGTCCTGGAGGAGACAGGTAGTTGGTTGCAACCATAAAGAAGTGAAAACTACAATATAGCTATGTCATCAGGGCCCAGAACATCTGCATGCACATCTTGGAGGGATGCATTGACAGGAGACTGAGTGTGAAAATCAAGATGACACTGGAATGATGACATCAGAGGTTGGACAAGGAGAACTGTAGTTTGAATGAAGAAAGAAAAGAGAATGAAATGTTGCTAATCTAATGATGGTTTGGTGAGAAAGAAGCAGCAATATCTTTTATAGAAAGATATTGCAGGCAGAGAGAATTATGTAAGGAAGAAAAGTTTTAAAAGCTACTTCAGAAATAGGAGTTGGGATTTTTTTCTTGTTTGTTTTGTATGAGAAAGGTTGCAAGAAGGAATAAGATTTAAGAGAAGGATGAGAGAGATCTGATCCTAGAACTTTTTTTTTTTTTAACCATAAGTAGAGTCTGTGGTTGTGGCAAACAAGAGGAGACCATTAAGAACATTTGGTGCAATTGTCTATGATTTCCCCCTGCCTCAACCCTCAACCCTTAAGGGTGAAAGCAAATGTCAATTTTATGTGTAATGTTTAAATAACATCCGTTTTCTTTTGTAGGTGTTTTTTACAAGTAATCAAAAAGCAGAAAAAAGAGTTGTTCCAACTATGAATCGTAAAAAGATAGACAATCGTATACGGACACTAATTGAAAATGGAGTGACTGAAAAACATCGAACAATGATTGTCATTGTTGGCAACAGCAACGATCAAGTAAGTGTTCTTTTTTTTTTTTTTTTTTTTACAAGCATCTTTCACCCCACCCCAAGTCACTGTCAAGTATACACCTAACAGAATTATTGTAATTTCAGTTTATTCATATTTATATATACTAGTTGTAGTGATGTAAATTTCACAGTTTTCCTATTTGAATTTTCTGATGAAATATACTATTCAGCCATGCATTGAATACTGCTGCCATATCTGGTTTGTTGCTCTTGCTGTATATTTTGAGATTCTTGAAAGAAATTCAAAGAAGGGTCTGTGATGTAATGAATACTGATCTAGCATCTCAACTTCAGTCACTTTCCCACAAATGTGACATGGCATCCCTGTGTCTTTTTTACAAATTTTTTCATGGCAACCATTCTGGTGAGCTTTTTCCTTAGTGCCTGAATCTAAGCATGCTACTAGATTGACAACTAGGCCTCATCGTTTTACACTTGAACTAGCTAGATGCAACCGCCTCTTCCATACTAACAGTTTCTTTTCTCACACTTCTTTCTTGTGGAATTCCCTTCTGATTTCTTGCTTTCCTGCCAACTACAATCTTCAAAAATTTAAATGCAATATCAATTGATATCTTCCGTCTTCCTGAATCCTGTTCCTTAATTGTCCTTTGTACACTTCTCCTCACTAAAGTCTTCTTGTTTTCTCTTACTCTCTGTAACCATGTCTTAGTGGCAATATTGCCTTGCTTCGAGTGAAATGATTAAAAAAAAACCATAATCCTGTAATTCTTAAATTAATGATTGATTAAGCTATTTGCAAATTATACAACTATAAAATATCTGTGGAAATTCCATTATTGTATCATTAAATATTTGTGCTTAACAACTTTAACCAAATATTGCAAAAACAACCATAAGAATTTTTCTGTTGTCAACACTTGTTGTCACTTTTGTAATGCTCGTTGTAGCAGAGACTTTGTAATCATAGATACAACTATAGTAACACTGTTGAACAATACTGGTGTCAGACAACTTTAAATAACACTCGCACTAATGGTACTTGCTTGATAATACTCGCTCGAAAAGTAACCACCGAATAGTAATCCATATAGTGATCACTTTGACTTGATAATTCCCATATATCAGTTAGTCAGTTATGTGCCATGTGTGATACATGCTTAGACGATCATGTATCTTTTAATATATGACTGACAGGGCAGATTTTTTTCCCCTGCAGTAGGTTGCCATTTCTTTCTGTGGTAGACCAGTTGCCGTCCAAGTCTATAGAACTTGGTCTGTCCTGCTGTTTATCCAATGATAGTGGGGAGAAGAAGAGGATTCATACCTTTCTCAAGGGTATTAGCATGTAAGTGAATGTAATGGATTCAAATGGAATTCAAACTCCGATTCCTCAATACGAGCCATTATCTATTACGCCACTGAGCCTCCTCTAATTCCCATATATATATATATTTCCTTTACCATCACATGATCTACTTATTCAAAATGGGATCACCTGTGTTTGATCTCTGGTGATCTGTGTTCAAACTCCAGGTCATTATTTAAAGAAGTAAAAGGGTACAAAAGAAATAATTTAAAATTGACAAGTTTTTCCTCTATTTTTCAGATACAAAGCTAAATAGGGGAAAATAATAAAACAGCCTAATAATAATATGTATCATAATAAATAAAATTCAAACACAATGAGACAAATTCTTGTTTAATGCACTTGACTGATTTTTTCACACGTTTCCTTTTCTTTTGTAGGTTGTTGTTCTACATCATATGCTGTCAAAAGCCGAAGTGAAAGCAAGGCCTTCTGTTCTCTGGTGTTACAAAAAAGAACTTGGATTTTCAACGTACGTTCAGCTTTATTCTTTTTTTTTTTTCCTTATTCATCCTTAAGTAACTTTTTACATGTCCTCTTATGTCTTTACTGCTTATAATACATATTTATCATTGTCGATAATGTCACTTTAAACTTTAAAAGAATAAAAGCTTACATCTTGACCTGTACTTGACCATTGAGCTTTATCTACACTTCTAAATTCTAACTGTTTGTTTTTCCGTTTTAATTAAACACAGATGCCAAATTGTTTAAATAGTGACGTGAAATCTTTGTAAAAAAAAAAAAAATCGTGTTTGGAAACTCTTTCAGATCAAGGGGAATAATTTCAGATTTTGTTCTAAATTACTTCCTCTTGTATAGAATTATTCTTGTGTTCAAATGCACACGTTTCCATTGAGAAGGCTTTCGGTAATTGACATTTGTTAGTAGGAATTGTCTGATTAGCCAATGCAACCCACACACAAGGATCATTGGACAGTGTGTTGTGATACATTCATTCACCTTGATTAAAAACCTCTTAATTGGTGTCTTCACAAGTCCACTCTGACCCTGTTAGGATCTGAGCAAATAGTGAAACCCAAAACTGGGATCAAAACATGAAAATGTAAAAATACTAGCAATATATTTTCATATTAAAAAAAAAAATTACCAAAGCTCACAAGAAAATAAAATTTTAGCATTAAATGACTCATAAGGAGTTGATATGCCATTAAACAAACAAACCAAACCTTGATTAAAGCAATATGCATTTTGTGTCACAGTAGACTTTTGTTGCCTTGTCAGCAGTTGGTATTTTTTTCTTTTTGAGCAACTGTTGATTGGCATTCACTGCAACTTGATGTGAGCACTCTTCAAACCCTGCTATTTTGAAAATGCATTGGCCATAACAATTTGACTATTTATTAGTATTTCTTCTTATCTATTACTGCAGTGTACAGTACATCATAATAAAGTACTTGAGGTGGGCTTACTTGCTTATATAATTCTGACTTTGATATGCACATTTGTTATGAGACAGTAGCTGTCATTCTTGCTGCATATCATAATGTTTTAGCTCATCAATGTATCTACATAATTTTATGTGAAATTGTGTACTGCCACAAGTATTTCACAAGAACTCACTTTTTTTTTTTGCAATTTAAGACATAGCAAAATTTGAGGAGATCTCTTGAATCTGGGTTGGAACTGTCCACTTCTTACTTTCAAGTTTTGATATAAGGTTAAAGTGTCTATGCGGCCTTGTGGGTGATGAATTATTTTTCACTCTACAACTTCTTTGCCACAAATGAAATGTCTCGAGCCTCTCAGTACATTATTGTTATTTCCATAGCAAATGTTCTGTCAAGCTACACTCTTTAGTTTGACTAATTTAAGCCTTTACAGCTGACCAGCTTTGTTGCAGAGCTTGGAACAAATCATCTCCATTTCCTTCATATTCCATCAGTAAAAAGGATGTTCCATTTAAATAATTTCTTCCCAAGAACCATTATTTTGTGGAGTAGACTCTTTAGAGGATACTTCCCTCATCACTACAATGTTAAGGTTTTCACTTGTAGAATTAACCATTATCATTCCTACATATCCTCATAAACTGTACTTCATAACTCCTCATCTTACACATTCAGAAACCCTCTACCTTGACTGGCTCTTGGGCTTTGTATTGGGAGAACAATTAATAATAATAAAGATAATAAAAATTTGTAAAACAATCAAATCATGAGATTTAAAAGAAAGTGTTCCTTTATCATAATATGACAAAAAATTAAGAAAAGGGGGAATTTAAATTTGAATCTCATTTTTGCTTTCATTTATTTTGTGAAATGTACCAGAGCTTTTCTGATTTTTTTTTTTTTTTTTTTTTTTTTTAATTTATTAAAAGCTCAGTTTAAATTTTTTATCTTTAAAGAGTCAGATTGCAACCATGTTGGTGGTTGGGGTGCAGAGTAACCAAAGAATAAATTCTGTTTGTGTTTTTTGTTAATTTTTACATTTTTGCTCTTGTAAAATACATGAATCCACTGGACTGCTTTGTCTTGCTGCTGTTGACATCTTGTCACTGGTATGCCACAGTAGTTGATAAGAGTAGCCACTTAAATAAAACATTCTCTTATCACTACTTTCCCTTTGCAGACAGAAAAAAATAACTTATCAAAGATTCCTACTGTAATGGTTAACAAGCACACCTGTAATGGTTAACAAGCATACAATTAGTATAATGAGTTAAGTTTTGGATTCCTATGACAGTAAATAAAGTTTTGAAAGTAGGTTCACAAGTTGAGCATTATTTCAGTTTTGTGTTAACTTTTTTTTTTTTTTTTTTTTAAAGATCACCCAATACAAGGCACAAGGTCTACTCAAGCTAGAAAGTTACTGAATGAGGTGTGTGATATTGAATCTAAGCAGGAGGAATTGGGGTGTGAAGATTACAAGGGCATGGAGGATAGATAACTATCGACCATAGGGTTGATGATGCTTCGATTGTAAAGTTTGGGGAACTATCAATGTCTGTTCCACAAATTACCAATTCCTGAGAAGAAGCTTTTAGAGTAATGCTCTTCTATCCAAAGGAAGATGCAGGGAATGAGGGCAATTCGGCAAAGGTGGCACTAAATAACACAACATTTTAGAACATTTGCCAGTAGTAGCAATAGGCTTGCAATGTTGGTTCTATAGTAAAAGGACTGTGGGGTGGGTAATAAGTCACCCACTCCCTACTCAGGGCTGTGCAAATAATTCCAAACTCTCAAAGCTGAAAAGTAAGGATTGGGCAAGAGTAACTCAAATATGGCAGCAATGTTTTTTTTTTTTTTTTTTTTTTTTTGGTCTGATCTGACTTTGTAAAGAGAAGGGCTGATGAAAACAGTTGGTGTGTGTGTGTGTTATGGAGTGATTTCACAGTGGAGGCTTGTATTTGTACTAAGTCGGTCCTAAAATAGGTTCGACATACAAAACGTTAGGGACTTGATATAATAGGTAATGACGCAGAGAAATCTAGTGGTCGTCGCTGATACTTTCGTATTTGACTGTTTTCCGACATCGACTGACTCCCTCACTGACTGACTCTTACTACTCCTGTTTACATTAGGTGGGAGAGTCTATTAACTATAGAATAGGTGTGTTTCCCCATAACAGTTTGGAAGAATTTTTTAAAAAATTTGGTGGGGGAAAATTATTTTTTTTTAATTCTATTTTTTTCCAGCTTTGGCCATAAACAACGGATGCGAAAAATGCAAAAGAAGATAAAAAGTGGGAAACTATCAACTGGTAATAAAGATGCTGATCCTTTTGAATTATTCATTGCTTCTACAGACATCCGATATTGTTACTATAAGGAAACTCACAAGATTCTTGGTAATACGTATGGCATGTGCATTCTACAGGTAAGACCTTTCATTCTTCTTTTGATTTGTACTTTCAAAGAATAAATTCCTAATTAAACAAAAATGGTATAAAGAACAAAATGGAAAGAGTGGTAGATTGACAACAGATTTGTTCAGTGCTTTTTGTTTATTTTATAAACATTTCCCCCTAAGAAAAATGATAAAACCACAAAGATGCAAGAAGTTACTGAGAGTGAAAGAAACAGAAAAGACCTTTTATTGAGGAAAGGGAACAATAAAAAGACCAAGATTCAAGGAGATAGAATATGACATTCCATTTAAATTTTTAAATTTTGTAATTGACAGGAAATCAAGAAGCCAGAGAAGAAGTGCGAGAAAAGTGACTGTCAGCCTAAAATTTATTGTTACATTTAGCAATTTCAACAATAAAATAATGAGATATAGCTACCAATCTAGTACCATGCTTAAATTCATGATATCAAGGTACCAAAGAGGAAAGCTTGTCACAACAATTGCCATGAAAATATTGAGAGAAATGCCACAGGGAAGCTATTATGCTACAGTGGTGGGAAAGTGACTGAAGCAGAGATGCTAGGTCAGGATTGATAAGATTGCAGATTCTTCTTTTATAGTCAATGTGGTTGAGATGATGTTCATGAAAGATAAGCTCGTAATATGTGTGGTAAGAGTTCAAATCTCATCAGCTCATTCTTTATTTCATATTGATTGTTCTAGTGATCAAAAGGTGTATCAACCTAGTGTTGTGATAAAATGCACCAGTTATAAGACAATATAAAACTAGTAATAAAAAAAATTAAATTTGTTTAAAGTGTCCAGTTTTCCTTTTAGTGGTCATTTTATTTACTTTTGTGGTTGACAATATTTGGGGATTAAATTGAAAATTTATTTACATTTTCTTTTAAAGAATTAAACTGAATATATTTTTATAAAAAATAAAATGAACTGGATATTATGTTTTTTGTCACTTTGAACAAGAAATTGCTTTTCCCTTCTGCTCTTAAACTTTGTAGCAGAGCATAGTTCCAATCTACAGACCTTTGGGTAATGAGCCCAGCACACCTCCACTGCATGCTGGGTTCATAACAAAAATAGTGTTGTAAAAGCACAGCTTTCAGGCCAAGGTTTTGAAGAACATGTTGAGGTCTCCATAAGGATTCGCATACATACTCTATGGAAGCTGTTAGATAACTTCTTTCTGTTGCACCCACTAAAGAATAAGACTGTCATATATTTGATGTAAAATTCACATATCTTTCAGCATTACAATATAAAATGTGATGTTTTCTTGAAACCATCTTTCATAATATGACTGATAAAATGTGGAAGTTAAGGAAAATTGCATAAGGATTTTGTGATGCAGCTCAACAGTGGTACTTGTATCTGAGGTTGAGTTATTCAAATTAGGTCTTACTGTGTCACCATTGAATTCAGCACTTTTCTCATGGCAAGATGGTGACACAGTTGATCACATGATGTGTGTACCTGTGGATGATTTCCTTTTGGACAGGTACAAAGCAATTTGAAAGGAAAATAAATAATTTCAGTAAAATGTTTGCTGGAAATGACTTTGCTTCAAGGAATTTCAAATATCATGGCCTAAGTATTGTTCCTGGCAGTGATGGAGCCATCACTATCGATCAGTTCCAGTATGCCTCTTCATTTTGAGCAATAACTATCAACCACCAATGCTCGTATATCAAAATGAGTTAATCAGAAGCAAAGAAGAGAGAAAACCATCTTTTAGTGAGGACAGCTCAACTGGATTGCAACCAACACTAGACCTGATATCACATTTTCTGTATGTAAGATTGAGTATAGAAGACAGTAATGCTATAATCGGTGATTTACCTGTGCTTAATAAAATCATACATCAGGTAACAACTGATAATTTGAGATATTTTCCCAGAAGATTGTCATATGGATGCTTCATTTGCCAACGTGCTCGGGAAGATGACAACTATTACTCCAACTTTCATATTCGCCAAATCATTGATATTACATCTGTCCAGTGCTATAATGGATGCCCTTTGTTGAATGATATTGCACAAGTGGCATCAGCTTTGAAATAATACCATTTTCAAGAGAACATGGGATATATAGAGTGTTCCAGGAATATTAGCCATAGCAGAGGCTTATGAACAAATTCACACTGCAAATCACCATGAGAAGAGGAAATGCAAGAGGACAATTCCAACTGTCCAAAAACTTACTTTTAATCAGTTCAAATAAATGCATTCTTTAATCATTTTAGTTTTATTGGTTTGAAAATAAATGAGTTTAAAACTTTGCAATAAGCATTTGTTTCAAGTGTGGACCAATGACTAATTTCATGAAACAAATTTCTAAGATTTCTATAATTTGCATAATTTCACAAGATTTTCCAAGATTAGATGTATGAGAAAAGTTAATTCATATTACAGAGAAAAGAGCTGTTTTATTGAATTCCTCATTCTAAAATTATTGCAGTTTCAGACATGTACCTCCAATGGATACTTTTTTTTTATGGCATGTTCATGATGTTATACTTTTGACCTGTTTTTGTCCTGCTACAAAATTGCATTTCAGGCCATTTATACATGGTGTAAATGGGATTTTTTTTTTTTTTTTTTTTTTTTTTTTTTTAGATGAACTCTACTGGAAAGAATTGGTTTTTGACTTTAAGACTACTGATTACATTTATAAAGATTCTAGTCCAAAGCCTGCATCTTCAGTTATGCACTGAAATTGGCTTCTGGCTCAATAGCACACAAAATTGAAAACTGACAAACTTTAAAGAGTCATAATTTTGTTGCTAATTGATTTACCAAGATAAATTTGATTCCATTTTTTTTTTTATATTTTGTCAAGCTCTCTATGTCTGTTAAAGGATTTGAGATATATTGAAATAAAATTTACTTCAGAATACCTACTAATAAATATGGTATTTTAAATAGACAAATAATTTAGATTTGAAAGTTGATCACCTGTCAGTGAAGTGATGGTTATTGAACTAGTAAAATAATAATAGGGAAAATGCTTAAACTAAAAAGCACTAATAGTAACATGGAATGAATCAACTAGTAAAATTCCTAATTTAATTTTAACCTCCCCCTCCTTGATATTTTTTTTTTTCTCTCAGGACTTTGAAGCCATAACTCCCAACTTACTGGCCCGAACAATTGAGACAGTCGAAGGTGGTGGCCTTGTAGTATTACTTCTTCGAGACATGGATTCTCTCAAGCAACTTTACACAATGTCAATGGTAAGTAGAGAATTTTCTCTGTGGTAACCTTGATAGCAGCAATGATGGCAATTCTATCATTGCTGCTATCAAGGTTACCATTACGGTTTCATTTTTACTTTCCTTTCTACAATCATCTGTACTTTTTTTTTGCTTTGCATCTGTATGGCATACATGCTTTGGTACAACAGTTATTTCCACAAAACCATTCTTCCACTTCATGACCCATTCCCAGTGCACAAGTCAATGCACTGTCTGCAAATCCAAAACATCTTTCTTTCTTGGAGCAGAGCACCGTCTTTTCTTAGGTTCATAAACATAATGCTCCTTTCTGCTAGGGACAAAGAAACAAAAAGGCAATCCATTATATTCTTTTCTTGCTCAATATTTCCTTTTACCACACTGTTTGAAATCAATAGTAAATATTTTGAAATGACACACTGTCTAAAATTTGACTTAGTGAATTTTTGGAATACATCACTCATTATTAAATATTAGACAGCAAAAAAAAATTTTTATTAAGCAAAAATAAGAATTTTTTTTTTTTTTTTTTTGTAAATTTTATATTCTGCCATCTTTCAAGCAACTTCAAAATTCTATCTCTCTATAAATTATCATTCAGCAAAAATCTATTAAAATGCCTTTTGCAGTCTTCCAGGGCTTTGTAATTTCTTTCATTAGAAGAATAATCTCAAGATCAAAATAAATGTTTGATTAAGGTACATGAGTGAAAACTTGACAGAGTTACAACAATTTTTGCCTGGTATCTAATGAAACACAAGATCAAACATTATATCTTGATGGAATACTTTGCCCTTTTCCTTAACTAGTGTTGATTACAATTTCACATGGGAATGACTGCAAAAACATCTCCCCTCCCCAAATTTATAGACAAAACATACAGATGCATGCTGGGATTTCTTTCTAACCAATAAGATAGGCCACCTCTCAGTCTCATCTGCCATATTTTTGTCCTTTCTTGTTTTGAAGTCAGAATGCTGCAATTGTTGATTAGTATCCCTGCTCGGTAAAGCTTGAACCCTGATTGGTTAGCAGAAGAGCTAATTTACATGAGTTCACTGACCTAACTCACTAGTGAAGCATTTTTCTTCTTTTTTTTTCCTTCTGCAAAAGTAGCATGTGACACAAAAGTGTTTTGGCCTTTGGGGTATGTTACAATTTTCTTTTCTTTTTTTTAATTAGAGCTGCATTTTTCTTAAAAAGAATAATCTGCCAAACGTTGTTTATTTTAATCCATCTTCTGTATTGACATTAATGAACAAAAATACATTAATTTTGATAGATTAAAAAAAAAATATGCATACTGGTTTGTGTGGGGAAAATTGTGAAAATAGCTTACCTCGGAAACGCGTGCGAATCTGTGCAGTGTGCAAACTCCGGTCCTCCCTGCGGTAAAAGGAACCAAAATGGCAGCGCCCATATTTTATGCCGGGCGGTCTCGGTTAGTTAACTCGTTGTCTCGTCATTCGCATGCAAATCGTGGTCGGTCCTCGGCTGTATAAAGCAGGCTCGTTTTGCTGTTTGAGATGAGAGAGCTTTCGGCTCGTGAGAAGGTTGGACGTGCGACACCGGTTTCTTTGTTCCTTACCTGCTATCATCAGTTGAGTTGTTGAGTTACCTCCCACAGTTTGAAAATATAACCAAAAGTAAGTGAAAAATAAGTGCTCTTGATGCTATCTAACGACAAACAGAGCAGATTCATTGGCAAACTCTCTAATTAGCTTATTCGCAGTAGGGAGATTGTGTTGCAAATGTGGAGGATATGCCTGCTTTGAAAACCAACATTGGGGAATCTTGGCTTTAAAATATGTTCAGCCACTAACATAGAAAATAAGCCTGCATCTACTTCAGCCACAAGAATTTCTCCTAAAACTAAGACTGCTATAATTTGAGGAAATATATAAAAACAAAACAAATTCTAATGTTTCCATTTTTATTATTAAAAGACAGTAACGAAATAAATCAATTTAGCCTATTTTAATATAAAATTCTGAGATCTTTTTTAAAAAATTTTACTTTTTACATATTCATTTTTCTTTGTGTCATTCTAGGATGTCCATGCAAGATTCCGAACAGAAGCTCATCAGGAAGTGGTTGGACGCTTTAATGAAAGGTAATTGCTAATTTTCCTGAATTTTCAACTGATAAGTGTTGAACTTGGATGCTTGTTAGAACAAAAAATAATATAAAGCAAGCAAACAATATGTAAGGCAAATTAACAGTAATATGGCAAAAAGTTCACAAACTAAGAATTGGGATTGACACACAAAAGCAAGTTCAGACAAATGAACATATTGTCCTGACTTCAAGACAGGATGGGACTGAATCAGATGAAACTGAGAACTGGCCTATTTTATTGGCTAGAAAATATCCCAGCATGCATTTGTGTGCTTCTGTCGATAAATTGGGAAGGAGCACATTTTGCAATCATTCCTATGGAGATTGAAACCAACAAACTTTTTTAATGATTATCTTTACTGATATTCCTCCGAACACTACAGTCTCTATGTTTTTATTTAGGCTTACATGTTATTAAGGAATGTATTAATGAGAGTGCTCCCAGGAAAAAAAAATGTAACAATAGAGTTTGAAGTGCAGGCATCAGGTAATACTCTGATTCTTTTAAGTTTAATACAGACACCATTTCTGGAGACTCATTCTCTAATGCCTTGATAAATTTGTAACTCTCACTTGAGAGAAACCATAAAAGATTTGTCAGCAGATAGCAAGATGAATGAATTACATGAAGCAACAAAAGTGAGGATGTTGTAGAGAGGCATAATCTACACCCTGAAGGGACATGGCACATAAAGAGAGAGGATATTGCTGAAGCTCTATAAAACTCTATGGTTGTCATGTGTGTATGTTATTTGATTAGTTAATAACTTCTTTGGTCAGTTGTTGAATAACATATGAGATTGACTTGCAAGTATATACATATACATATATTAAAAATAGGAATTATTTTTCTTTCTAGATTTCTACTATCTTTAACCACTTGTAATCGATGTCTGGTCATTGATCATAAATACCGAATCCTCCCGTTGTCATCACTTACTTCAAATATTACTCCTTTGCCTTATAAATCCAAGGTAAGTAAAATTGCATTTTAGCATTTCATTCAAACATATGACATATAATTGATACAATATAGGCCCAACTTTTTTCTCATATTTCTAGCTCTAAATATAAATAGGTTTGTCCAAATTTCTTAGCTCCAAACATTGTCATTATTATTTACACTCTCTACATACTATTGTCCTCATCTTTGTTGTTCTTGTTGTCACAATGTTTCAGGGATTGTGCCCTCCAGACTTCATCAGATGCATGTTGATAAAAAATAATTTTACTACTTCTTTGTAAAAAAAAAAAAATCGTCTACTCATTCTAATTCTTGCCTTTTAAACTACAACAGTGAATACACTGAAAATATATTAAAACTACTGTCATTAATAACCAAATCCAAAGAGCTAGAACTAAATTAATTCCCTCATCCAAAATAATTTTCTTTAAAGAATTAAATAATACAAACACACACACACACACACACACTTATTGGCACAAAATATGTTGTTTTTAATAGTAATAATTTGTCTATATATACATATATATATATATATATATATATACATATATATACATATATATATATATATATATATATATATATATATATATATATATATATATATATATATATATATATATATAAACAAGTGTAAATGGATATAAACATAGAACAAGATGAAGAAATTTTGAAAAACAACAAAAAATCATAAAATGTAGTTAAAATGAAAAAAACGTTTCGGTTTAATAACTTTTTCAAGACAATATATCAAAATACAATTCAGTTCAATATGACAAATACGATGGACAAATAAATGCATTAAAAAATTAGAACTTAAATAGTTTATTAAAAAGTATTACAATACTTGCATCTAAAATCATGCAAAAATTGTGACCTAAAATATGTGGGTAGGTAGGTCCTTAAAATCTACGTGTTTCGAACATAAACCTAGAAACAAAACAATGCTTTTAGTTGTACACACAACTAAAAAAATATTTTCATAATAAAAAACAGTTTTTAACGGTGAATAAGAAATATTTCCCCCTTTTTTAGATTTACAAGCATACACATAAGAATTTTAGAACCTAATAAATTCTTTTATTTTCTTTTTCATTTCAAAATAATCACAAACTTTTAGGAATATGAAATATATATAACGGAAGGCTGATCATTTTAAAAAAATTTTCAGTTATATCTGTTCTGAATAAGATCCATCGTATTTGTCATATTGAACTGAATTGTATTTTGATGAATATTGTCTTGAAAAGGTTTATTAAACCGAAATCGACGTCGACATTTCTTTCATTTAACTACATTTAAGGATTTTTGTTTTGTTTTCAAAATTTCTTCATATATATATATATATATATATATATATATATATATATATATATATATACATATATATATATATATATATATATATATATATATATATATATATATATATATATATATATATATATATATATATATATACTATATATGCCCGGCACGACCAATAACTAGGGTCAATGGATTAAAAATGGATTAAAATCATCCATTAATTTCAAGCAAACATACTTAGGCTGAAAATTAAATTACGTATCTATTCAAGTTTGGATAACTAAGTAGCCAAAAGTTCATAAATATATCTGGGAATAATACAACGAAAATGGATGGCCACCGTCAGATCTATTGAACATCCCATAATATCGGCTATAATGTTGAACAAAATCGTGCAAAACAAAGAAAAGCTTATAATAACAAGTAATATTAGAGAAATCTCCTTTTGGCTGTAGCCAATGGTGGCAAAATCAAGTCATGCTCAGAACAATTAGTACATTGTGAATGATTGTCTTGGAAAGAGAGAGAAGACGAGAGAAAGATTGAAGTAGTAGTAGTAGTAGTACGAATAGATGTTTGTAAACATAACCCGTTTATTTATATTGTAAATATCAGTGATGAAGTTATTGTTTCATTAATTAATTAATAAAGAACAGGTTTTGAATAAAGAGTGAATTTGTTTTTTTTTATTGAGGAATGTTTTTTCAGTGAATTTTGAATCATAGAAATCTCACGAAAAATACGGGTTTTATGCATGTTATATTAATACTTAGAAAAACCCTCAAACCAATGAACCTTCTTTAGAATTCCGTAGTGAAATACGTAAATACTTTTGTAATTTTTTTTTCATAAAGGTCCTGTATGTAACTTTTTTTGCTGCATCCATCATTTTCACAGCTATTTAAACCCAACTTTATTCATCAATATTACCTTTTATTCTATGTGAAAATTTAATTGTTTTTGGAGAACATTAAATGAAAATATTTCAGTCCTTCACTACATTCAATTTTATTACAGACTTTATTTACGAATTCTTTTGTATCTTAGAATTTTTGGATAAAATTAAGATTTTCAATGTTCTCAGTGTTTCCACGGATAACTTCAACTGGTCAAGATATCATATGTTTCAAGATTCATATGTTTCAAGATTCATCAGATGGAATTTACATTTTGAAGTTCCCTGTATTTTGCGATAACGTCATTTGGGCTAATTTTCCTGTGTTTCACGGGTAAGTAGATTATTCTCTAAAACATTAAACAAAAGTTGTACTGCATTTGCTGTTAATGATCTGGATTTAAAATTAGATATAATGAAATGGATATTGTGTTAACCTGAAAAATAAATCGTTTGGCCAGAGGAATGTAGCATAGCGAGAAATTATCAAATTATAACTCCTTTATTGGTGAATAAGGTTAAAACTCGTTCGTTCCAATCCAAATGGTTTAATGACATTGACTGGTTATGTGCCCGGTAAATCTGAGGAAAAACTCTATTGTTGGCCCCATTTTTCATCTAAATCAGGACAATCATGGACTGATACTGGCTATACTGATTATAGGCATATTTTGGCTGACTGCAAAATTCATTGAAATCAATGACTCATTTTGAACAATTATAAGCGTTTAAAACATTTGGCATGTATGACATAGTCACTGCTATTAGTGAATCGGCCAAACTTGAAATAAAAAGGCACAATAAATTGGTCGAAGAAAATAGACAATATCTGAAACATCTGATAAACGCAATATTATATCTTTGCAAACAAGAACTACCATGCCGGACACGATGAAGGGAAGATAGTCTTAACAAAGGTAATTATCGAAATTATTGCAGTGTTTCTCTAAAATTGAAGTGTCTTTGCATCAAAACTTTCCGTAAAAGAAGGCTCTAGGCAATTTTCAGGTATTTCCACAACAATACAGAATGAAATTATATCTGCAATTGATAACGTGATTGCTGATGTTATTTACGCTGAAATTCAAAGTGCCCCATTTATTTCAGTGCAGGCTGATGAAACAACTGACTGTGCAATGCATGCACAGCTTTCGATCATTGTTAGGTATGTGAATGGATGCAAAATTATTGAACGATTCCTTGGATTTCATGACGTGAGCGATGACAAAAGTGCCACAAGATTAGCTGACGTAATCGAGAATTCTTTAAATTCCTTGATGATGCAAAATCAAAATTGGTTTATGAAATATGATGGAGCAGCCGTGATGGCAGGTGAGCGGAACGAGTGCAAATTAAATTGAGAGAGAGGGGATTTAAATACGCCGATTTCATCCATTGTTATGCCCATAAACTTAATTTAGTTTTGAGTAAAAGTACGGAAAAAGTTGATGGCGTTAAAATATTTTTTTCACATTTACACAGCTTCAGTAAATTCTCATCATCTAGTACGAAAAGGAAGAGTGTGTTCAAAAAAAAAAAAATCTGCATCCCATCTTTGTGTGCTACCAGATGGTTTTATAAATCAAGAACTGTATCCGCTATAAAACACGATCGTCAAAAAATAATGAACGCACTCGAAGATATTCTTGATCATGGCGAAATATGGGATGAAACAACACTAAGTGAAACCGACAATCTATTGTCAAAATTGAATGATTTCACTTTCATGTTTTTATTAACTGTTTTTTATGTCATTCTTTCTCAGAAAAACTATTTGACATTTTACAGTGCAGAAAACTCGACGTGAAATATGCTCAAGATAAAACACATGATTTCATTCAATCAATATCAAACAATTTATGAACATTATGAAAAATTATCAACAAACGATGACAGACATGGAGATATCTGACGAATCACACGCTCCACCCACAAAAAAAGAACTAAAAAATGAATCAACTACAAAAGTGTATATTTTGAAATAATTCAAAACATCATTTCGTCACTAAAGGAACGATTCGCCAACATAGGAGACTTTTCATATTTTGAATTGCTCGATGTGAAGAAGTTTGAAGTTTTTTCCTGTACATTCCCTAAGCAACATATAGATGCATTGCAGAAAAAAATACCCTGGTATTTTGACCTAAAATCCTTGACAAGTGAGCTCAGGTATTTGTATTCTGACAATGATTTCAAAAAATGTACCTCAAGTAAAGCTATTTTGGAGATGCTCCATGAACTCGGTTTTTTGTCTGCAATGTCTGAAACTGTGAGACTGATACATTTTTCATTTACCATTCCTTACTTCAGTTTCAAATGAAGAAGTTTCTCAACCTTGGACAGAATACGATCATTTTTGAGATGCACTATGGCTGAGGATCGACTTCGTCTTTAGCCGAATTTCAATTGAGAAGAAAATACTTAAAGACTTGGAGCAAAAAATTGCACAATAAGGTAATAGAAAATTTGCTGACCAAACCAAGACGCCTGGAGTTTATTCTCAAATGAGATACCTTAAAAACGCGCTTGGCCTGCAGACACGCCCATTCAAAGGCATTTATAGACGAACACTAGCTGTGAAATAATGCAGCAAAAAAGTTACATACAGAATCTTTATGAAAAAAATTTATTTTTCATACTACTACGGAATTCTCTGAAGGTTCCGAGGTTTCAGGGTTTTCTTAATATTAATATAAAATGACATACAAAACCGTATTTTCGTAGATTTCTATGATTCAAAATTCACGAATAAACCATTCATAATAAAAAAAACGATTGTGAAGTGCTAATAAAAAATCAATCATTTAATTATTTTATAATTCCATGAGACAAATGACCTGGAGAGTTGTGGACTTAATTGCTAACCTGGTTAGTTGTCATTGTCATCAATTTCTTTTTCTAATAAAGATATTTTCTCGTCATAGTAATGAACATCTTCTCTTTTCTTCTATACTTTTGAAAGGAAAAAAAACTTATCTACTGTATTAACAAGACTACAAATTATATAGTATCTTGATTGTTTACAAAAAACCACCATGCAAGGTACGTTAGTCAATCTGTGCTATACAATGGAGAATCAATAGCAACTGCATGACTTATGGACCACGAGTTGGGAACTGAAGTTATATATATATATATATATATATATATATTTTGGCAGCAAGTATTCATTTAAACAAGTTGAATTAAAAGGAACCAACAATGTCTACTTAATTTTTTTATTATATTTTTCCAGTTTTCGAATAAGGTGTTCAGTATTCTGCTTGAAGTTGTGGATAAACTGTCCAAAGTTCATATTGTGTTATTGTTTTGTTCAAGAACCTTTGGCTGCCCCAATCATTTTCACATACATGCACAAAAGGAAAACTTATCTTAGTCAATACATTTGGTCCTCTGAGGGATTTTATGAAGGAAAATGTAAGGATTATATTTTCTGACAAGTATGTTATTGGTATTTCAAAATTTTTGGTATGAGAATGCTTATGAATATTCAGGTTAGTGGGAAAGTCAAGCAAGTTTATACAATTCATTTTTTTCTTTTGTATATAAATACTTGTCAGAAAATAAAATCCTTTCATTTGCCCCTCAAAAGTCCCTCAGAGGACAAAACATGTTGGCTAAGATAAGTTTTCCTTTTGTCTTTATTCATATTGTTCTTTTACAGATAAACTCTATCTGAAATGTTTCCACACACACACACACTTCAGACTGTTGATCATGCTAGATAATGCACACTCTCCTAGCATAGTTGCAGTACAAACCACAGGTGGGCTTGTTGGGTGTTGAACAAACACAAATGTGCTTGAGCAGGCGTCTGCAACAGGGATTAGCTAGCTGCACTAGTAGATAAGCATCCTCAGATACAAGTGGCTGTGTCATTGATTGATTGATTGATATACATATATATATATATATATATATTTATATATATAAATAAATAGTGGGTAAAAAAGACAGACCAGTTTTTATCCTTTGTTGTCTTTCTGTTAGCATCACTACTGTGATAATGAGGTGTACCAGGGTTCACAGCCAAAACCTCAAATACAGGGAACTGAAAATATTGTCAGTCAGGGACTAGTTTTCTTCATTTTTTGTTTTAGGAAGAGTCACTAACCCCATCAGAGCAGCAGTTGGCATCACTCAAAGAATCCTTGCAAGACACTCAACCCGTTGGTGCTATAATCAACTGTACGCGAACATTGGACCAGGTAACAAATTTTTTTTTTTTTTTTTTTGTGAATAATTTTTATTGGAAGATTTACAAATATTTTACAATTTGACTTAAGTGGTCAGTTAGCAGTGATCAAGCAAAATGTAATCCCATAAAATGACACAAGGATTCAAATGAATGGAAGGAATTGTTAAAAATATATTCCATTTTTCATAAGATTTGGCCCAAATAAATTGGTATTCCAACCAACTGTTGACCCAGTTAATGAAAAAACTCTATGACAAGGGTTCTCAGCCAGAGAGGAATTTCACCGTTTCAGTGGAAAATCTTTTAATTTTTCTTGCTTTATAGAATTTTGTTTATTAAATTCCATTACTCTGGCATTCATTTTATTGAATTTTGCTTTAGTTTATTTAATTATTATGAATTAAAACAAATTAATGTACACGCTTTCAACTTTAAAAATCCATCAACATCATCTATTGCTATTAAATTTGTAAAACACTTCTATAAAAATAATTATTGTAAATGTTTATGTACTAATAGGGAAAAGAATGAAGATTTTCAATAATATATTATTTGGAATGCACCTTTTGAGTCAGACAGGGTTAGGGTTGACATTCTAACACGTAGTGAAAAGAGTGTATTGCTCAAAAAATATTGTAAACCACTGCTCTATGAGGAAGGTATATAACACAAAAGCCACACAGAAAAATATTGAATGTATAAGAATCAATATTTAAAACAATGATGGGAGCTTTTTGTAAGAATCTAATTTCAAATTACTATAGTACTTCAAGAGAGAAAAAAAAAGACACTTATTTTTCTCTGAAGGAAATTTCAAGCTGAAAGTGAGATTTACCAACCAAAGGTGAGATTTTTCATTCGCCAGGCTAATGAAAAACCTTGCCTTTTTTTGTAAAATGTTTCAATACAAAGCAGCAATCTTACATTAACCCTGTAACTTCTTTTGCATAAAATGATCAAACTTTTTTTTGTTAGTGATTTTTGAAAGAGCAAAACAGATTTTGTTAAAAGTTTGGTTGATTTTTGAAGCCTTTATTGCATTTTTAGCAATAAGCTAAAATTTAGCTAAAACTTATTGAATATAGCAGAATTTGAGTTTTAAGAACATTTAATGGTGGCTGTCTGGATATTTAGCCTATAGTACTCTGTAGGTGAGTTTGTGTGATGAGTAAATGATTTGTCCTGATATTGTAGGAGATTCTGGATGATGATTGTTTGAATTTCATGGTGACACAAGGTCAATATGGAAGAGCATTCAGTTACAAGTGAATTTGCTTCATTACCTAATGTCCTGTGATACTAACCTGTTAACCATCATAATTTGTAGCCAATCCAGAAATATCTCCCACATATACCTCCCAGAAATACTTAATTAGTAGCTATGGCAACATCATCTAGCTGATGTCTTACCATTATGTGCAAGGTATTTCTGTTGCACCTTGCATATCTGCTATGGCAACAACCCAGGTTGAATCTGCATGCTAGATTACTGCAATGAAGGTGCAATGCAAAGGGAAGTAATACTTTTGTGGTTACTTTTGGTTGTCGTCATTAACCTTTTAGAATACAGCATTTACTTTAGTTAACATTAACACATTCAGCTGCTACATTGTTATAGCTGTGCAGTCTCATCTGGGGGAAAAAATAGGAAATTGCCATTTACTCACATGTGTCACCATTTTGGTTTTGAAAGGGTACTCAACAACTAATTAGATCATCTGCAGTGATGTCTCCATTTATTATCATAAGGAATTTGGATGCATATAGATTAGGAGATGCAATGGACTACCCTGCAGTTTCCATCTGATTCTGAATAATCACATCTCATCTGTTTTGCAGTATGAAGGATCTGTTTTTAACTGACACCATTGCAGTTCAACACAACAACTCTTGTATTCTAGATTCTGCCATTGACCACATCCTGCATTCTTCATAATTCTGGCAGGGGTGTTTTCTGGGTTCTATGCCAAAGGCAACCTATGATTTAGCCCAGGACCACATGATTTTGGGTTTAGTGTTGTCATAAATTAATAAATAAATAATTAATGCCATATTCTTAACACATTCACTGTTGCATTGTTATTGCATTGTTGCCTGGCTGTGCTGGCTCATTTTGGGGAAAATAGGAAATTGCCATTCAATAGAAATAAATTACTATAAAGACAATGGCGGTGATTTCTCATGAGCACTGCCATTTTGGTTTTGATTGGACACTCAGTAGTACAGACTGAATTAAATTTACTCTTTAGTATAGTAACCCTAACACGCAGTATGATAAAAACACACCGCAAAACTGGTCATATTGTACACTATCAATGGTTTGGAGATAATGCCAAGTGCTGATTAGGTTATAATACGGGCACTGGGGAACAATATTTCATGGTGTCTTGAAAACATGCATAGACAGCAGGCAAAGTACGTTTCATATGAATAGATACATTCACAGCAGTGGATGCGTTAATAAAATACCAACATTTTAGCACATTTTATTCAAATATAAAATAATAATAAAATTATAGTTGTCCTTTATTGTATGTATACATATGATAAATGATGGCATACAATTGACATTTCTAAATTAATGCCTAACTGTCAGCAACATATAACAATAGGGAAGAAAAAGCAGTAGGACTTGGAGACTCAACGGGGTATCGACAGACACAACCCAAATCACTTTGATGCTTTTTACTCTCCCAGATTTCAGTCAGAGAATTAAATTATGCAGTAATAATTCACCCAATCACTTCAGACCTATTTGTTATACACCTACATGTATGTTTTGATTAAAATAAAATCAGGCTAGAAAATCTATAATTTTAATTTAACTTGTTCAATATTTTAGGCCAAGGGACTTTTAAAGTTCATTGAGGCTATTTCTGAAAAGACCTTGAGAAGCACGGTAGTGATGACTGCTGCTCGAGGTCGAGGTAAATCTGCAGCTCTGGGTCTTGCCATGGCTACAGCTGTAGGATTCAGGTAAGTCATTTGTTATTCTATTTTTGTTTTCTGATACAATATAGAAGAGTTTAATTTTTTGAGGGGTGGGTGCTTATTTGGATTTTTATTCCTGGAGTTCTTGTGCAGTTCAAGAAACTAGGTTTCTTGAATCATATCTGATACAGTTAATTACATTTTCTTGTAACTTCTTGCATAAATTCGTATAATCAATGGTTAATATGAAATATTCAAATGAAGAATAGAAGATGTGAATACCATTTGGAGGTTTAAATGTTTTATTTCCTTGTAAGGCATTTTATATATATATATATATATATATATATATATATATACCATTAGTATAGCAATGCAGTATCTCATCTATTGGGAATCCTGAAAACATAAAAATCTATATAGGTTGCACAAGTTCAAAAAGAGGTTCAATCAACATCAAACTTCATTTAGGATAAATAAATACAAAAATCAGACAACCCTTTCAAAATATTTCTGTCACTTAAAAGAAACCAATAAAACATCTACAGTAAAATGGAAATTAATAAGAAAAGCTAGAATATGTGGGTCATTAAATGACCCATGTCATTTGTGCATACATGAGAAACTATATATTACTAAGTTTATAAAAAATAAAAATTTACTGAATCAAAGAAATGAAATAGCTATTCTTTGCCGTCATTGTCAAAAATTTTCCTTAAATAATATTTAAAAAAAAAAATGGAACTGGTAAAATACATACTTATATTTGATATGAAAAAATAATTTTAAATAATTTAAGTAATTCTATTGTGAATTATGAATTTATATGTGCGTTTAAAAATTAGTAAATTTTAAAATAAGTTATTCCAAAATTGGCTTGAACATGAAATAGAACTAATCCTTTTAATTTAATTATATAATTAAATTTGAAGTTTTTAGCTTCAGTTTTGAAACCTGGTTATTACTGTGTCGTGAAGAAACCATATTTTAAAACAGTTAATTCATAATATTTATGCTCTGTAAATTTACATTGAGCACTGTTTTGTAAAAATAAAAAATATCAATAAGAACACCGAATTATATATCTTAATGTTCTTTCTTTGTATGTTATATATATATAATTTGTCACTTAGCTGATTGGTGTTACCTTCAGCAATGTGACTGTAGGGTTTCATAGACAGACACTTCAGCAGTCACTCTGTCCACTCGTCAGGGGATATCAGCAATTAGCTGTTTATTTTCTAGTTTTTCTTTTATATATACATTATTCATTGGTGCAGTGTTTTTTTTTTTATTATTTATTTTCCTTTCCTTTCTTTGTGTGTGTGCTTACATATAAAATGTTGCGGTTATTTCTCCTTTTTGTTGTTTTTCTTGTGTCTTTATACTGTCTCCATATTGGTTTTTTACTTCTTCTCTCTCAATTGTAGCAATTTGATATCCATTTTTTCAGACAGTCACTGTTCTTGTCAATTCTTGAGCATTCTATAATAATATCAATACCAAAATCTGCTACTCAATTTCATGAAGCAACAATCCTCAGAGGTTCCACTTGATGTTTGTTGCTCCATAAAACTGAGTAGCAGATTTTGGTATTGATAATATTTAAGCTCTGTCAACTTGAGCATTGGGCCTCAGTTTATTTTATATTTTAAGCTTTTAGCTTACTTTAAGCTTTTGTGTGTCTGTCTGTCTGTGTGTGTGTGTGTGTGTATATATATATATATATATATATATATATATATATATATATATATATATACATATTTCCCATAAAAAACATCATTACATCACCATTTTTCTACAGATCCATTATTCATGAATCTATCTTTTCTCTTCCTAATACATAAAAATCAATGAAGATATATAAAAAAAATATGCACAAGATATGCTTTAATAAAAAATCAAACCAAAACAAAATTTTTCAAAACATCCTGCTGTGTCTCACTAACTTTTACATACTTTAGCATCCAGAATGTTTCTCACATATATTTGAATATTATCTGTTTGTTACTTCATTACACGTGGCACGTATTTAACCAATAAGAAAATAACTAAACACAGTATACCATTAACTTCCATCGCTTTGTTTTTTTAACATTTTTTATCTTGATCTCTGACGTAGGATTAATAAAGTGAAACATGTTAGATTGAGATCTGTTTCCTAGTTGTTCTTTATCCTATCATTTTGTTGGATTCCTACCCATACTTATGTAGTTAACATAATAACATTTATATTGGTGGAATACAATATGGTTTTAAAAATCAGCTCATTAAGAAAACACAAGAGAGCTATTAAAATCAAGGATACATTAAGTCTTTATAAATATTAAGCACATTAAACAAACCATCCTTTTGATTTTAGAAACACAAACATTATTAAATTTATTCTTCTAGAAGAATTATTGAAACAGCTAGAATATCAAGATTCAGTTAATCAAAATGTAGGTTTTTATAACCTCATGTTTTCTAGCTAAGATAATTCATAAAGAAAATAAGATTAAAATAGAAATTCGTTAAACATCTTAAAAACTGAGTCAACTGTAGTCAGGATCATCAAGTCAATGCAAATGATCCTCTCTTTAGGTGCATAGTATGTGCTTCACCAGAATTACATACAATTTTGAATTCAGAGTTTTCCTTCTCCTAGACTGGTTGCCACTCACAGCTATAGAACCCAGTCTCTTCTGCTATTTACCCATAGTTGGGGAGAAAAGAGTTGGATCCAAACTTTTCTCAAGGGTATTAGCACGTAAGTGAATGTAATGAACTCAGCTGGACTTTGAACTCGGCTCTCTGATTCCTCAATTTGAGCCACTATCTATTACTCTACTGTTCCTCCTTAACATCTTAATAAAATATTTAATTATAAATGTTATACTTTCTTTAAGGCTACGTCCTTTTGAAACACCAGTTCCTGTACAATCACTTTTGTTAAACAGCATCAAGCCTACATTATTTACATTATTCAGACTATTGTCCTCATCTTTGTTGCCATATTTATTATAACGTTTCAGCCGTTGTATGCTCCGGCCTTCTTCAGGTGGTTGGAATGTTGAACTGAACCCTTTATTTCGCTCACTGAGGTAGACTGTTCTAGTTCCACATACCATGTGAGCGAAATAAAGGGTTCAGTTCAACATTCCAATCCCCTGAAGAAGGCCGGAGCGTACAACAGCTAAAACGTTATAATAAATATGGTGACAAAGATGAAGACAATAGTCCGAATAATGTACATAATACCTCATCTCAGAAATATAGACAAAGCATCAAGCCTGCTCAGTACCTGGATGGGTGACCACTTGAGAATGTCAGGTGTTATAAGCTTGGATGTGTGGGTGGTGTAATGGATAATGGCTTGCATTTCTTAATTGAAGAGCTGTGTTCCAATTCCCAGACAATAAAGATCCTTGAACAACATTTGATGGGTCGTCTTGCCATTCTGTTCTTAAATACTACACATACTTACAGTGTTGGCAATTACAATAATATCTTTTTACTGTTGCTATTGTTTTAAGTTATAAGGTATTTATGGGAGAATGATTCATCCAAGGGAACACTTTCTTTTATTTCAATCATCATGAAATGCTATGGACATGGTGTATCTGGTGATGGGGTAGTGGATTTGTGTGTGTGTCCCATATATATATATATATATATGTATATATGTTTTTTTTCCAATGGCCTTAGTGATAAGTGAATACAAGCAACTTCAGCCAGAATTTAAACTCCCTTTGCCAATTCTATTTTCTGTGGAGATAATTTTGGCACTATCTCACACTTGTATTTTCATTGTTATTTCTTCTTCTTTTAGTTATTCCAATATATTTGTCACTTCTCCCAGTCCAGAAAATTTGAAGACACTTTTTGAGTTTGTTTTTAAAGGTTTTGATGTCCTAGAATACCAGGTAAGGTTTGTTTGTTTTTGGGTGTTTTTTTGTTCTTTTTTCCAAAAAAATTATCTCTCCTTCACCAAACCTCTAACTTAATCCACTCAGCTTTGAATTTTAAATTTGCTTTCTTTATCAAATCAATTCTGAGTAACATGGCATTTCTACATAACCACATAAATTGCTTAGTGGTAGAAAACTGAGTGGAATGCTGTTGTGGCTTTGAAGGAGAGGTTTGTTTTTCATGCTACTATGTATTTAAGATATAAAAACTAAAAAAAAAAAAGAGTTCAGTTTGATGATTTATATAGGGTTGTTGAAATGGCTGAATATCAATTTTTAATTTTTATCACAGTGTTGATCAATAAGTCTGTACTCTGACACAGTTATCATCTGGTTTTGATCTGAAATTTTCACTGTATAATGTTTGATCTATGTGATTGATATTTATTACTGAATCAAGTGCAGTAACAAAGGTTATGTTGTAAAATGAAAAAAATGTGAAAATAAATCTTTCCTTTTTCTCTATCACCTGCCAACAGATATTAACTTGTCTGTAAGAATTTTCCATTCAAAAGACTTTTTTTGCAAAAATGCAAAAAGATTGTTTTCTCTCAAATACTCCTATATAAAAATATTGATATTTACTAATGTGTTGGGTGAGGATCAAACTCATAACAATAGTAATAGTCTAACAATCACTGCAGCAATTATTTGTTAATTGATTACTCATTCTAGTTTAGTGATTTACCGAAAAAGTAAAAACTAGTATTTTTTTTTTTTACTTTTAATTCTTAGGAACATACTGATTATGAGATTATCCAGTCATCTAATCCTGACTTCAATAAAGCCATTGTACGTGTAAATATCTTCCGAGACCACAGACAGACAATTCAGGTAAGAAAAAGACATTCACTTAGCCTTGTACTCTCTCTCTCTCTCTCACCACTGAATTTCTAGAAACCAAATTGGACCATTTGAAAATAATTTGTTTATTCTTACTGAAAAAAATAAAATGTGCCTTTTTGAATTAGATAGTCACTGTTGTAAATGATATAATATATCTATGATTCCACCTATCAGTAAAAATATGTATTTATTTTTTTTTCTACTTACCAACTCCTGTTTTGGACTAATGTCAGTTATAATCTGGGATAGAGTTGTATCAAATTCCAGGGAAACAAATACCATTTGTTCATGCATTTACAATTATAACTACATATGATCTTACTATGCACAAACATGCATAAAAACTGTAACTTAAATTTTAAGTTTGGTGCATATGATCTTTAAAAAAAGAATTACTTACTCTATCACTTTTGCTATCAATGTAAAATAGTTCTCTAGGCATGTTTAAAGCAATCTCACAAAATGTACTGGTGAATATCTGCATCACATCATGTTTGCATATGCTGTTCAGTTTCTGGAAATTTCGAATAGTGTCATTTGTAAATTTATCTTTTATTTCTTTTGATGTGTTTTCTTTTTTTTTCTCTTTTTTTTTTGTACCTTTTTATGAAGTCATGCTAAGGACATCTGTCAGTTGTAATTAAAGATAGAGGTGTGTCCTTATTTTCAGTTTATCACTCCTATTTGATTTTACTTTTATTCTCTTTATATTTTCAGTATATCCATCCTTCAGATTCTCATAAATTAGGTCAAGCTGAACTTGTGTGTATTGATGAAGCTGCTGCAATTCCTTTACCCCTTGTAAAGAATCTGATTGGACCATATCTTATATTCATGTCATCAACTGTAAATGGGTAAGTAACAGTTTAGGCCTGGATTTTTTCTTATTTGTCTCCTCTTAATTCATCAAGAAAAATGAATGTAGTTTTTTTCTTCTTTCATCTTGTAATCAATATTATTATGGCATCTGTTAATCTCAAGAACATAAATATGCACCACATGATTTATGCCCTCTCCAGGGTGCAGGGCTAGGCAGGGTGTTTTCTTTTGTTTTTTTCGTTTTTTTTAATGAGAGATTTGCAGTTTCCCATGAAGTATATCTCCTTGTCCTTCTCCTAGTTCAGTTACCAATTACAGCTCCAGAATCCAGACTGCCTAGTATTTACCCATAGTTGGAGGTTTTGAATTCAGAGTTTTTCCTTCTCCTAGAATGGTTGCCACCCAAGGCTATGGACCCCAGTCTGTCCTGCTATTTACCCATACCTAGGGTGTAATCAGTATATGATCTAAGAAAAGACACAAGTTCACTTTACCTGTGCTCTATCTAGTGGCCAGGGTCGTTTGACTAGTCTCATTATTGGTATGTCACTTTGGTTAATGGAAAATAATGGATAGTACAAGTACTAGAGAAACTCACAATCTAAATATTTAACTAGTAGTTAGAAACATTGACCATGCCAGAAGCAGACATCACATTTGTGATGGCATCTGGAGAGGCTGATGCATAACTTTGCATTTGATTAGGTAACCATGCAGTAAACTACACGTTCTGGCTGGGGGTGTTATTTCTGAGAAAATTCCAGAATATGAGAAAATAGCATCTTGACTCAAGAGACATAGATTGGCATGGGTTTGAATAAGAGAGTGAGGAGTGCTTAGATATCTTTCATTCACTTCCATGTTGACTGCACTCCTTGGGGTGAGGTTAAGATTGGATTGATGATTTTTTTTTTTTTTGGGGATAATGATTTACTGATACAAATTCTAATAATTAACTCATAGCTAGAGGGAGAAGAGGTGGATTACTACTTTCCACAAGGACATTTGGACATAACTGAATATAACAAAATTGGCTGGAAGTGGAACTCTGCTTTTCAATATCCAGTTCCAAGCCCTTTATCTCTTACACTACCTGCACATCCAAGTTTGCAACACCTGGTATTCCCAAGCAGTCACCAATCAAGGTACTGATCAGGTTTAATGTTATTTAAATTCAGTGATTATACAAGAACCGGTGTTTCAATATGATAGGGTTGTAAGCCAATGGGGACAAGACCACCACCCTTCCAGAAGGAGACATCTATTGAATGGCTGCTGGCAGAATCCTGTATGAGTGATAAGTGTTTACCTATAGAATCGGGTATAATTATGACAGATGCGTGCCTAAAGTTTCAACTGTAAACACAAAAAAACATATTAAAATTCTGATTTCAAGATTAAATAACCCAATAATATCTACCAACCAGCTGAAGGAAAAAAATCAAAGTTATGAACTAGAATTTGAAAACCAAATGCTTTAAAGTTTGCAAGAAGTAAATTGGAAAGATAAGTAAAATTAATGAGTGGAAATTTATCAAAGCCAGAAATTTTATGTAGTCATTCTGGATCAAAAGAGAATTCTGTGAATCAAAAACTTACTTTTGTCTGAAATGTGCTAGATTCAGCAGATTCTGTTCCTTACCTAGAAATGAATAATATTCATAATTACCATTTCATCTCAACCGAAGCCCTCATTGCATCCTAAGTTAATACCTTTCCAACTAAGTAGCAGTGATCGGTTAGCTAGCAGTCAAAGGCATAGCTCTGTTCATACAAGTATTCACAAGACCTTCTGGTACCAGTATGCTGATTGGGATTCACTTTGTGACTTTCTTCGAGACACTCCATAGATATTCTTAACCTTCCTATTGAGAATTGTACCAGTCAGATTTCCTTTAGAGTAAAAGCCAACATTTTGTACATTCTCAGAAATACCAGGTGATATCAAAATCTTCTCCATGGTTCACACTGGCCTGTCCTGCCACTATAGCCCAAGGAATCACTTTTTCCAACTATACCGGCATGACAGTTCTGACCACAACATATGCCTATTCATAGCTCTATGTAATACATGTAAATGTGGCCTCAAAGGAACTAAGCTTTTGTTTCCTGATCAAATGGGGCATCATATAACCTCTAACAAGTTTGCTTCTTGTGACTATTGACAGCTCTGAAGAGTATATTTTCTATTCTTCTTTTCACTCAGTTTGAGGTGTTAACATCTGGTGATAAAGCAGATTATTTTGCCCATAAATTCTCCTCAAATTCAACTCTTGACTCATCTGACTTTCCACTTAGAACTGAGTCTCTGTTGAGTGATATGCATATTACCCCTTCTATGGTTTTTACTATCATCTCTAATCTGGATCCCCACAAAGCATGTGAACCTGATGGTATCCCTGTAATAATCCTTAAGAAATGTGCTCCTGAACTGGCGCCTGTTTTCTCTAAACTGTATAATAAATGCCTCGCTATCTCTTGCTTTCCTGCTTGTTGGAAATCCTTTGTTGTTACAGTCTTTAAGAACTCTGGTGAATCATCTAACCCTTTGAAATATCTGCCTATTAACCTTCTACCTCTTTGGCAAACTACTAGAGACCCTAATCAACCATGACTTGGTTAATTACTTCATATTATATAGCCTTTCAGACAAACAAAATGACTTTCACTTCTCTAGGTCAACTGCTGGTGCGTTAAAGATTATTGCTGAAAGATTCTGTCAAGCTTTAGATAAGAATGGTGAAGCTCTGGCTGCTGCTTTCAATATCTCGAAAGTGTTTGATATGGTTTGGCATATTGGTTTTCTTGACAAGTTGAAAGGCTGTTGTATAATAGTAAGTGTCATTGCCGACACTGACTTGAAACTAAATGGCTAGTGAATAACACGAGCAATTCCATTATTAAGTATAGATCACATGATCATAAAGGAAGTGAATAAATATGAACTAGCATGCTGGCTATACATTCACTGTTCACTCTTCTTGTCTATCCACAATTGTTATACGTTCCTTCTCTCTACTCTACTACTATACGGATTATGATTCTCTTCTGTTCATTATATTATTTGGCGATTACTGTTTGAACAAGTATTACTAGTGTGGATATTATTGGAAGGTTACTACTAGTACCAGTGTCTACAAAGTTTCAAATATAACAAGCATTTTTGGAAGTAATAACGAGCTTCCAATTGACTCCTGTCTTGATAGTAAGTCTGGTCTGTTTAATAAGGTTAAATTAACAACTTATCTAAAAAAAATGACCTACAGCCAGTTATTAACTGGGGCAAGGAATGGCTTGTTAATTTTAATGCCTCTAAAGTGAAACTTCTCTCTATTAATCACCTGAAAGATCTCTTCCTGCTTCCTGTCAGCATGGCTAATACTAACCTCCATGAAAGTAAGTTGTTGTGCCTTCTCAGGATAACAGTCTTGGCTGACATGAAGTGGAAAGATTATATTGAATTCATTGCTAGGTCTGCTGCTTATAAAGTTGGTTCACTGTGACGTGCTAGAAATTTTTTCTCTTCAGAATCTATCTTGCATAAGTCTACCATTCATCCATGCTTTGAATATAAATTTAGAGACTCTTGAAGTCTAAAGAAGAATTAGCAGTATTATTGGTTCTGACCTAGCATCTGTGCTTTTTCCATAAATAATTGTTTGGATGAACTCTTCCCTATGGGACCTAGACTTTATGAATTTAAACGCAGTACTAGATTGACGGTATATCTCATCAATTCACACTTGAATTGGCCAGATGTAACCATAAGTTCTCTGCTAATTGTTTTCTTTTCTTGCACTTGATCTTCAAAACTTTAAATGCAATGTCAATTGTTATTTTCTGTCTTCTGTTCTTTTATTGTTCTCTTTTCTCAATAGTATTTTTCTCATATTTTCAAACATTCAGTAACCTCTTGCGTCTTAGTGGCTTTATTGCCTTAAAAAATAAAACCAAAGAATAGCTGCGAAGACTAGATCAGAGGAACTGGGGCTCTAAGAGGACAAACATAAGTGAAGATCTGCTCCTACCAGTGAACTGTTTAAACTAAAATCACATACGACATTCTTAGATGAATATATGGGTTCAGTGACCAATGATCACAACTGTTAGACCAAGGCTGAAAAGGTTTGTCATATAGCTTGGTGAGAAAGGCGGGTGAATGGTGCGCGTGTAGCTTGGTGAGAAAGGTGGGTGAATGGTGCGCGTGTAGCTTGGTGAGAAAGGCGGCTGAATGTGTAAGGAAATCTCTTTGAAGGCACACTTAGATGAACTGATGTCATATGTATTCATATCTATCTCCTTAGTGAATTTATCCGTCTAGAGATTTTACTACTTAAATATTCTTGAAAGGGATCATGAAACATATTTTAAATTGTTGGTGGGAACACAACCCATTGGTTGAAAAATGTTAAATATTTATTTTCAAAGGATTATTAACTGGAAGGATGCACAGATCCTCTGACTCGGAAAGACAATTTTTGTCATTTGATGATTGATTGTTTATTTCCATCTTCACTCCACAGGTTTTTGAGTTGAATAGAGCTTCACTCCTATTGTGTCCACTGTCAGGGACTAATTTTTACAAAATTTCTTTTCACTGGCATGCCACAGTGCTTGATAGAACAGAGTAAGTCGTTGGGACATTGGCAGTTTCAACAGTAACAGTACAAAAAGGTGTTACATCTGTTGTCAGCCTTAACAAGGATAATTCAGATGTCGATGTATGCATATGATAAAGTGTTTGTGTTATGTTTTTGACAGGTATGAAGGCACAGGGCGTTCACTTTCTCTAAAGTTGGTGCAGCAGTTGCGTCAACAGGCAGCAACATTTTCTAACACTTCAGTGGAAAATAATTCCAAGACTGGAAACATGTCAGGTAGGAAGATTTTTCACATTTTTAGTGTTCTTGTTAATAGGCTGCATGCAGACACAAAAATAAATTGTTGATCAAGAACGTTGGTGTGTGATAATTTATAGACATTATTCACCTGCTTCCACCCCTCGTTATATGCATCTAAGTTATTTTGTTAAGATCTCTTTTATGGTAATACCATCCCCCCTCAAGAAAAATTACCTCTTTTTTCATTATCCGATAGCTTTTCTTCTCAAAGTATAGCTGCCTTGTCAGCGGGGCTCCAGAATATGACAACTGCATGGGCCACCTATTTGTGGTGGGTGGCAACCCATGATGGCTGAGGATAGGATCATTGTGGCTGAGTGATCTTGTGACCTGGATGCAAAAGTGGTCATGCAAACCATAACATTCCACTTTGGCCCTTACTTGGACCAGACAGGTAGTTGGAGAGGCCCAATCCAATCAACTGGCTGGTCACATCGGACCTCATTTGGGTTCTTGCAAAAATCTGAAAGTGGGCGGTGGGTTAAGGGTCAATTATGCTGAGGAATAACTTTTTGTCCTTAGATGAGCAGTTGGGAACAAAAAACTAGGGATTCAAGATAACTGTGTCTATCTAAAGCATGAGTATACGATGTAACCCTGATATGCCTAGGCAAATGAGTTTTCCTCCGAGAATAATTCCTTGTAGGGGTTGGGGAGAATAGTCATTATGAATCTGATTAAGACCAAAAAAAACAATGAAAACTTCTCTAGATTTGTAATAGAATCAAGAGAGTAATCTCTCTTGATTCTATCACCATTTCTCATCCAAACAGTCACATCTCTTCAATGATCACCCCCACCCACCAAAACTGGTCAGAAACCTAAATAATGAAACCATACCCATAGAGGTGGCAACCAAAAAAATACTGACACACTTCTGAGGATGAAAAAAAAACTTCTCAACATAAACATTAACACTTTCTCCTAATCCCCCTCCCCCCCCCAAAAAAAATAACAGCAGAATATCTCTAGAGGTGAGGTTCAGAACAAGAATCTGTCCTTGTGTTTCATAACAAAAATAAAAAATGAATTAAAGAAACAAGGTGTGATTGATGTGAGGAGAATAAGCATAAAAAAGAACAAATAATAAATACAAATATCTACATTTTTGACCTTTAACATCCCACAATCTCCACCTGAAATAAAAATTGGTTATTTAATAGGTAAAATTGAAAAATATATACTGAATCACCAAAGATGCCACATTTGTCAAAAATATGGGCAACTAAAAGAAATACATACCAGAAAACCAATATGCATGAGATACACAAGCCAGTCCACATAGAAGAGACGAGTAAAAAATTGGCTAATCAACTGCAATGAAAATCATGATGGCAGATTCAACATATTGCAAGATCTCTCTTAATTATAAAACTTAGTCACCCAAGATATTACCTTCCCAGAATCAAGAAAACTTGTGGAAACTTCTTTCACCAAACCAATGTACGTAAAAATTACCAAGACCTAAATGAAAACCAAATAAATACTCAAATAAAAGGAAAAAAATAGAAATAAAATTGTAAAACGTAATAAATGATCTACAAAATCTAATCAAGATCCTAAAACTAATTTACCCAATATAGGAAAATTTCCCAACAACCACCAAAAAAAAAACAACAAAAACAAAACCCCAGTTACAAAAAACAGGCACAGATCAAAAAAAAAAAGAAAATCAAAAGCCAATTCAAAATTCCAGTCAAAACTAAGAATAAATTTGAAAATATAGAGCAAATGGAAATTGAAATGGACTCAACACCCACTATTCAAAATAGGAAAATAAAATAAAACATTCAAATCTTCCAAATAAAATCCATGAAAGACAAAACGATACAGCGGAATATTAGAGGAATCAAATCTAATTTAGAAGAACTCCACCTTCTCATAAACGAAGAGAACCCAAGTTTTATATGCCCCCAGGAAACCTTTCTAAAAAAAAAAAAAACCTCAGAAACTACACTCAATACCACTATACCCACAACTCTAGCCAAAATACTTCTGGAGGTGTGTCAATATACATTAAGAATAACATACCGCAAAGCAAAATCAGCCTGCAAACTAGCCTTCAAGTAACAGCTGTTAAAGCTACTCTGCACAAAACCATTAATATTTGTACTAAATACATACTACCACATGATAACATCAACAAAATTAGAATAAACAAACTGATAATGCAACTGCCAAAACCATTCCTGATGCTAGGCAATTTAAACAGCCAGAATATGATATGGGGCAAAAATACAGATAAAAAAGGAAAACAAATTGAAAATATAATTACCTTCAACAATCTCTGCCTTCTCAACAACGTCAGCCAGTAACAGGCACATTCACCCTGTGTGACCCCCCCACTACATTCATGGACTTCAGCTGACAGGTCCTTCATGCTCCTTGCTGCAGCAATCACTTTCCAATCATCCTTGAAAACTTAAATGTCTTGGAATAAAAAAAAAAAAGATCTCAATGGGAAGTCAGCAAATCAAACTGGGGACCAAATTTAAAAATCAATGTAACAAGAAAGTCCCAAAAATAACATGGAGGAGGAGAGTTCCATAGAACATCTCACAGAAATCCTAGTATCAATTGCTGAAAAATGTGTACCCAAAAGCTCTAATTCAACCAAATACAACAAACCCTGGTTTAATAAAGATTGCAAAAAAGCAATAAGATGACAAAAAGCAGCACCCAGAAAATTTGAAACCCAGACAACCCCAGACAATCTAAACCAATTCAAAATAAACAGAGCGAGCGAAAGAAGCAAAAAGAAACTTCTGGCAAGACTATGTAAGCAAATTGAACACAAATACAAAACCAAAAGAATATGGAACCTGATAAGAAAAATAGCAAGGAAAAAAAAAACAACACTCCATAATAAAACACCTCTTCACAAATAAATTTTTAACAACAAAAACTGACATTGTAAGAAATGAAGATGCAGTTACTATCTTCTTCGACCTTGAAAAGATTTATGAAACAACTTGGAGATATGAGATCATGAAAGACCTCCACAACCTTCGACTGAAAGTCAGACTACCTACCCTCATACACAGCTTCATAGCAAATAGAAACTTATAGGATTGTCCCTCTCAGATTGGAAGAACCAAGAAGTTGTACCCCAGGCAGCATACTGTCTGTGACTTTATTCAATATAAAATTGAAAAACAATTGTGTGTGTGTGTGTATGTAAATCCAGGAACAAACTGTTCATTGTATGTGGATGATTTTTTTAATCAGCTACAGATTCAAAAACATGCACACCACTGAGCGACATTGCATAAACAGAATTAACAAATGGTTCATTTAAAATGGTTTCAGAATATCTGAAACCAAAACTCAGTGTATCCACTTTTGTAAAAAAAAGAAAAATGCGCAATAATCTGATGCTCAATCCTCAACAGAACAGTGATTAAAGTTACAAACATACACAAATACCTTGGAATCCACTTTGATAAAAAACTCAATTCCATCCCTCATATCAAATACTTGAAACAAAAATGTCATCAATATATCCAATTATTATTCATTATCGCTAATACCAAATGGGGAGCTGATAAACCAAACCTCTTAAAATTATACCAAACTCTAATTCACTCCAAATTAGTCTACAGACACCTCATTTATGAGACTGCCAGGAAGTCCTACTTAAAGAAATTAAACACCACTCACCACCAGGGACTGCACCTTACCCTGGTTGCCTACATCACTACAGTTGAAAGTCTCTACATTGAATCTGGTGAGATGCTGTTAATATTTCATCAGTAAAAACTAGCACTACACCAAACTATGCTCACACCCAAGCAATGCAACCTACAAATGCGCATTCCACCCACAGTGTAAACAGCTCTACTCCTGGAAAGAAACAGCCATCAAAACTTTTGGACTCTATGGAAAACCTAACAAAAGAAGTTCAAATGAACATCAACATAATCCACAAATCTGCCTTGATAGAAAATCCCCCATGGTTACTAAAACAACCCTCAATTTTAATGAATCTTACTAAACATCAAAAAGCCAAAACTGACCCTGCCACCTTCTTCCAAAAATACCCTGATTTTAATCAGTGGGTCAAAAGACTCTAACAGAGTAGGATGTTCTACCATTCTAAAGGGCAGAAAGAAATTAAAAACAAAAAAAAAAATGTCAAATAATGCCTCAATGTTCAGTGTTGAAGCAACAACCATATTTTAGTGTTGGTTCTAATAAGTGAGAACAGGTCAACCCATTTCATTATTCGCTCAGACTCAATATCTTTACTGATGGACATCAAAAATATGAACAACCCTCTAATCACCAAACTCATGAATAGATTTAACTCAATACTCAATCAAGAACACATACTGCGTTGGAATTCCTGGGAATAGCAGGACTGATATGCCTTACCAGCCCTGCTATTCCTGCCAAGGAATCCCTCAACTCAACATAACAAATTCAAAAATCCCCTTTGCAGACTTTGAAGCCACAATATTAACTCTTACATTCTCAACCAATGGCAAAAAAATCATGGAATACACACACACACACACAAAAACAACAAACTATATCAAATAAAAACCATTCTGACTACAACATTGCAGTACCAGACACTGAAGATGATTTCATGCTTAAATGAATCAAAAATCGAACATTAACCCACTCCTTCCTTCTAAAAAAATGAAGACACTCCTAAATGCCCGAGTAATAAAACTCTACTCCAAAATATAAAAAGGAAACCAAATAAACACCTGGCAACAAAATGCAACTAAAACAGAATTACATCTCCACTCTTATATAATAATGCCTTATAAAAGAATTTGTCTGCGAAATAAATACAAAATAAAAACAACAATCTTGATTCAGTTCAAAATAACCCCTGGGGTTGGTGTACAGGTAAAATAACTCATCTGGGTATGATGATAAACTACATCTGCCAGCAAATCCTCTGATCAAGAGATTAGAGGTTTTGAGAAGCATGGAACCACCTCTCAATTGCTGTTATTCCCAGGTTCATCCTGACCTGGGATGGTAGCACCAGTTAGGGTTCCAGCAAATAGTGAACCTCCAAACAAAAATCAACAAGTCATTTTCATAATAAAATGACCAACAATACACTTTTATAACAAAATGACAATGCAACACCAAAAAAAATATAATACATTTTTACAGTAAAATTATCAACAAAACATTTTATCATCTATAAAATATATATTTAAAAAACATATCTTTACTTTGAAAGTATAAAATTATGTACAAAATATCTGTAGTTGAAAGCATAAAATTACATACAAAATATTCAGATTTTGACATTAAAATTGTCCTGAGCATGAAGTTAAACTGCAAACATGGGATTCTCACAAAACAAGTTCACCTATGTCCTGGGTATGACATTAAACTACAACCAGGTGTACTAACACCTGGTTGTAGTCTAATGTTGACCCAAGAAGCAAGATGAACTAGAAACTAATTGTTTATATGAGGAAATGTCACCTACAGGCTGTCAGCTTATACAATAAGCCTACAACCTATCCGTTTATACCAAGAATGGTACTTTCAGGAAAATAATATAGTTTTCCATACAAATAATCTAAAAAAAAAAAAATTCTATCCTAATACAAGGATTGAACAGTCAAGATTGTTGAACTTGCTTCATCAAACATTTAGCACAGACAAGAGAATTTTAGCCACTAAAGGAGAAAATGACTTATCAGCCTTTTTAGATTCTTCCCATGATACATTTTGGTACTGGTAAACGCGTTGCCATTGAAATTACGTCACAGGAACTTGTAGACCCAATGACTAAGCCTGGTAGCTGTGATGAAGAAAAACCATATCAAGTGATCTTCAGATATAACAGACAAGGCCAATGGGTTGCCATATACTATGATTTCAGTTTCTTCATTGGCCAAGTCATTAACATTACATCTCCAACAAGTGCAATAATCAAGTTTCAAGCTCCAAATAATGTTAAAAATGATTATTACTTCACCTGTGCAATGTCACCCACCTTTGGTGAGGAAATGCAGTAGGGCTGTTCAAATTGCACAGAAAGTCTTTTTCATTAGTTTCAATAAAAGCAGTTTTCAATTTTTTTTTTTTTTAATTTAAAAATTGAGTGTTACGGTCTTTACAATAAGCATTTGTTTGAAAAATTGATTCCTTTTGTAGAAGTTTTGATGTTGTCTCTCCTTTTTGCTTAAGTCATAACTTGTATAAATTTACAAAAAATCTTACATTTGTAAGAAAAAGTTTGAATATTATAGACAAAATAACTGCTGAATTCCTCATCCAAAAGTTTCAAAGTTTCAGGCTTGTACCTCCTCCAGATACTTTTTTACAGCAAGTTCAAGAAGATTTTTTTTTTTTTTTTACCCTACTATCAAATTTTGCTTCTCCCTGTACTTACATAATGATATAAGAATTGTTTTACTGATGTACTCCTGTAAAAAAAAAAAAATTCAGCTTAATCTTTAAGATACTATGTAACATATTATGAAGTTTCAATGACTTAACACTAGAATTGAAATTTATATGAATGGTCAAAGTTGCTTTTCTGTGTTATTTTTGCACTGTTTTTAGGACAGAATGTGATCTCCCCCAACCAACTGTTTAGGCTGGTCTTATCTAATAATTATTAATTCCATTAGTATTATATTTTTTATGACTTAATCACATTGCATTTATAATGATTTTTCATTTGCTTGAAGCTTGCATTTTCACATGTATACTGTTAAAATAGGCTTCTGGCCCAATCACACTCAACACAGAAAATCCAACACACTTTGAATGGTCATAACTCAGTTGTTAACTGAGCTAACAAGATACATTTGCACCATCTTTTATGTTTTGTAAAGCTCTATATGCCTACATGAAAATCTTTTTGATATAGGGAAAATAAAATACTTTAGGATACCTAGACACATCCTTGTATTACATTTCTTTCTGTTTTCATAACTGCTTTTCAGTCCATATGCAGGTGATTTGCTGCCAGTATAGGTTTTGAATTATTCTAATATCCTTTCTAAATATGTCAAATTTTTTTTTTTTTCTGTTTACAGGTCGGGCTCTTTATGAAGTCCAGTTGAATGAATCAATCAGATATGCAAACGGGGATGCCGTGGAGAAGTGGCTAAATGATCTTCTCTGCTTGGATGTTACAACTGTGCCTCACATAACATCAGGTTGCCCAATGCCCAAAAACTGTGACCTTTACTATGTGAACAGGGACACTTTGTTCTCCTTCCATAAGGGATCTGAGGCCTTCCTTCACAGTATTATGTCACTGTACGTCTCTTCCCACTACAAGGTAAGGGTGACAAATGAATGGCTCTAATTTTTTCACTTTTTTTTATTGTTTTCTCTATCTTCTAGTAATGTTATTAATGTCACACTCTGTGAGACGACAGGTTTATTAACAGGCTGTGAAAAAAGACCATTAAATTAAAACTTAGGTGGCTTTCCAAGGCCCAGTCAAATAAAAGTAAAAGATTTTTTTATGACTGCATAAAAATAGGCATATAGTTTTTCTTCAGATTTTGGATTTTAAGTAAAAATAATCTGTTGTTTCGTATAATTTCTTATATAAAGGAATGTATTTTTTGTAATGATAGCCTAAATTCTACCACTTATCAATATTTTTTCCAAGATTTTTCTGTTAGAAGGATGAATTTTTATGAGCATTCTTTAATTTTAAAAAATTTGAAAAACTAACAAAATTTTACTTATGTTTATAAATACTTTTTATAAAATAAAACTCCTTACATTTATTTTGATAAAGTCTAGAGGGTGAAACGCATTGGCTAAGATAAGTTTTCCTTTTGTCTTTATTCATCTTGTATTTTACAGATATGTTTTTTTTTTTGTTTTGTTTTTTTTTTGTTATGTCTGAAATTTTATACACACACGCATACTCTTTTTAATCATTTCATCCCATACGAGGCAGTAGAGCCACTACGACACAAGATGTGAAAGAATAAGAAAAAAAGAAACATTAAGGAGCAAAAACAATAGTATAATTAAGATGACAGTAGATAATGGTTGACATTGCATTTGAATTTTTGAAGATCAAAGTTGGCTGGAATGCATGGAGCCAGAAGAGAGTTTCAGAAGTGAGATATAGATATACTCAAACTCAAGATGGAGGTCTACATCAAGTGTCTTGAGAAGGTAATGCTGCCCTGAATCAAGTAGGTGGCTGCTGGATGACCCTATGTCTGGCAACAGGACTCTGCACCATGCCACACAAGCAGGAGAACCCAATCATTGCAGTCAGCCTTACATCTGGTCACCTAACACCCCAGGTTGCAGCCCCCTAATGTGTATGGCACAGTTGAGGAAGCAATTAGCAAAATTTCTTATTGCGTGAAAAATGAACTGAAAGCAAGGCTTATGACAGCATTCACCAACAAGGAGACTGTCCAGAAGAGTTGCAGAGATATTCCGAAGTCATCTGGAGTCTGTGGTTGAAGCCAATGGGGATTTTATTGAATAAATATACTCTTCAGTATTTCAAGATATTTTTGTGTAATTTTGCTAGATATATCTGCTAAAAATGAGATGTCAGTGTTGTTTTCATTTTTGCATAATTTAGACGACAATTTATCCATCGCACGCTGTGTGTGTGTGTGTGTGTGTGTGTATACACTCACAATTTTAAAAGGCAGACTAGTCCTTTTCACTTTGAAAAACTGTCAGAATATAATGTTAGCTCTTTCTCCATTTATTTTATTTTTAAATGTCTTTTCATCTTTTCTCGCCTAATGTGAGTGTATTTTATTGATTATATGTGATCAATATTTTCTAATTATGGTAATAGTAAACTTTTATTGTTTCTATAAAAAAACGTTCAGCATTCATTAACCAACAATGTTACTGTCATTTGTTATTTATAAAATGTTTCTATTAAAATGGTTTTTCAGGCAATTAAACTTCTCAATTCCTCTACAAATGGGAGTTTCCTTCCAATCTTTTTGCTTTTAATAGCATGGAAAGTTAAAATCTTCATTTATATCATTTTCTTTTCTGCTTACATTTGCTACCCATTTTTGTTGTTACTGCTGTTGAAAATCTTCAAGTGATGTGGTTTTTACTAGATTTTGTAATGCCAATCTCAAAGGATCTGAAGAAGAGTCATTCTCTTTAAGATTCTTTTTAATCAGTTTGTCAGAATTTATTTATTCAGATTATATTAACATCTAGAAATGATGCAATATCTTTTTTTTTTTTTTTACAACCAGAACACTCCAAATGACCTTCAGATGCTGTCAGATGCACCAGCACATCATATCTTTGTACTCCTTGGACCAATGGCATCTCATAAGCAAGGATTACCTGAACCCCTTTGTGTTGTACAGGTGAGTCTAGGTTTGCATCTTATTGCATTATTTTTTACAATAGTCTCTCTAAAATTAATTCCCATACTTTTTTCTTCTTTTCATCATAGAACATTCTCTCTCTGCCTAAAGCAGAATATGCACTCACATGACTCAATCAACTCTCTCCAGAATCTACTGACTAGGGTAGCTCAGTTTAAGGGTCCAAGATCAAGTTGTGTCCATTTGATTATGTTTTCATCCCACCTTCTTTGCTGTGCCCCGCCTACTTATTTTTCCACCAAGAATTCTTTCAATGCATAGTTTTGATAATCTTTTTTTTTTCTTTTCTTTTTTGTTCTGAGCTTCATTTGATGGGTTTTACTCTTTTAAAGGAGGCTTACGGGCATATCATGTCAAAACAATGGCTCTCATAGACACTGATATTGAGCAACATCAAGCCTGGTCACTACCTAGGTGGGTGACTGGGAATACCAGGTGGTGTAAGCCTGGATGTGTGTTAAGTTATGTGTGTAAGCCTGGAACTGTTATAGCCCAGTTTACACAATCCAGAGCGTAAAGCAGAAAAGGGAGAATATATGTGTTGTAGATCTTAGTTTTTATTTTCTTCTTGTCAAGGCCACTCAAATAACAATTGTTATTTAAAAAAAAAAACATTATTTTAGTCTGCTGAAGTCCTTCTAAAGGATGAAAATATTATGCAGGATTCTTCCAATTTGCCATTCATTTGCCTAACTTTGTTCTAATATATATATATATATATATATATATATACACACACACACACATGCACACACAATTATATTCTAAGAAGATTAACTATATATCAATTTGGAGCTGAAGCATTTTTTTCCTATGAGATCATTGGTATGAATATCAGATATCAAAAACTTCAAAACAGGATTTAGGTTTTTATTGATCATCCATAGACCTATTAATGGTCAAAAGTAGGATAATCAAACAATTGAAAACCAACAACAAGCCTCATCCAAACACTATGGCAATGATCAATAATGATCATCAACCATTATAACAAAAAAAAAAAAAACTTTCTACAGCATTCTCTTGTTCCCCCCACCCTACAATACAATACAGAATTTGTAAATAGAAAAAAAATTGTTTGCTTTTCTTCTTTTTTTTTTTTTTTTTTTTTTTTTTTTGACAAATATGAATACTTTTTTCTTCTATATAGTTTTCTTTTGTTTTTTTTATTTTGTTGTTTTATGTTGTATGTAGAAAGAAAACTTTAATTTATTATGCAGTCATAATCTTGATGTTATTGAATTAGAAAAAAAAGATGTTAAAAATCAGATGGTAAAATGTGACTACTCTAAGTAACAATGATTGAACGATTATTTTTCACTCATCTCCATCTAAAAAATAACCAAGCAAGATTTTTTTTTCCCACATTTTTCCTATTCTGTTCTTTTTTAAAAGGATAAAATACTTCAGAGAAAACATTTAAGTTCAGTAAGCATTAAAAAATCTTTTCACACATTGTTGTAAATTTTTTTTCTCTCCAAACCTCCTTAAAGTCTGCATTTCTTTCATGTATAGAGAAACTGTCAAGTAAAATTGACCTGTCAAAAATAACATTTGAGATTAAATAATTACAGATAAGAAACTTTGTATTTCCTCTTGTTTTTAGGTTTGTCTGGAAGGTGACATTTCCAAAGCTTCTGTGATGAATGGTTTACGACAAGGGAAACGAGCATCAGGAGATTTGATACCATGGACAATTTCCCAACAGGTAAAAATCCTTTCCTCTATATTTATTTTTGTCATCATTTCGATTGAAAATGTTTACATATAAAATGTTAAAAAAACAACCCATTGATTTAAATTTTCATTTTTTTTTTTTTTTTTTTTTTGTCAAATTATAAGTATTATTTATATCTTAAATATTTCAAATGTTCTTTGTTCATTATTAACTGATTATTTTTTATCACCTCTGTGTGTGTGTGAGACATACCACAGTTTAGGACATTTCAGAATATTTGATTTCTGTTTAAAAACAATCTAATTTGAATATTCAATCAACAGATGTAGTTCAATTATTACCAAGAAGTAATCCTAATTGTATTTTTACATTCTACTTTTTCTTTTTTTTCACCCCAGTTTCAAGACAGTGATTTTGCAAGCTTATCTGGAGTCCGAATTGTAAGGATTGCCACTCACCCAGACTACCAAAGTGTAAGTTCATCTTGCATTTTTACATTAATTTTTAGCCAGTGTTAAAGTGGCATTGAAACAATTTTGTTGATATTTTCAGTTTCTAAATTCTTTATGCTAGTTTGTATAAAATCATTTTAGGCTGTGAATGCAATTTTTCAAGATCTGATGGCTCTCCGTGTTTTTCATGTACTTTTTTTTATCCAATGAATTTTAGTGAATTTTGTTTTTAATTTAATAGTAAATCTTGACACGTCTTAGACTGAACAGAAAAAATGAAGTGCACATCTTTATGCAAATGCCTTACATGAGTGTCACATGACAGTCATCTGAAACAGTAATGTCAGAAATAAGTCAGAAATGATACTCTGATTGTGTGAAGCTCCAGCTGCCTCAGTGTGCAAAGTGGAATAAGAGTTTTTGTACATTTATTGCTGCTTCATTATTTATAACTATCTTTCCATTACAGATTCTATTTTTAATCCAAAATTTTGATGTAAATTTATTTGCACAATTTTTTTTTCTTTTAATATATTCTTATAATTTTCTTTTTTTTTTTTTTTTTTGCCAAAATGAAGCATCTTTCAAACAATTTCTTTGGGGATTCCTACTCTAAATAGAAGTTGTATTTTGCTTTCTTGAGCAAGGTACCACTATGTCACCAAATTCACAAACCAACACTTTAATCCACTGGGTCATTGTCCTATATGACCTAGTGGATTGAACATTGGTTTGTGAATTTGATGACATAGTGATTGTGTGTTCAATCCCTCAGTTGGACTGTGTGTACATGGACTCAGTGGAAATGGGTGGCAATTACTGAGCAGTAAGTACTAGGCTAGATATCCCTAGAGATAGGCTGTGGATTAAATAAAGAATTCAGTTCAGAATTGCCTGTAGGTTACCCAGATCGATATATATATATATATATATATATATATATATATATATATATATATATATATATATACCCAAGGAAACCAGGACAACAATTGCCGAATCAACAAAAATAGTCCAAATAATGTTACAACCAAATTGGCAATTTGCAAAAATATGCTTATATGTAATCATATAATAAATTAGTCCTGGGTATGACAATAGACTACATCCAGCAGCAAGGCCTCTGATTTGGAGGTTTTGAGGAGTATGGAACCATTTCTTAGTTGTTGTTGTTCTCAGGTTTACCTTGACTTGGGGGTGGTAGAACCTATTAGGGTCCCAGCTATGGAAGCCCCAAACAAAAATCAAAACACTAAGTATAAAAATACATTTTTATAGTAAAATTACCTGTTACATTGTGCTAATAGGAATATATACTTGACAAACACGGTAGATAAAATAAGTAAAGGTTTATTGTAAAACCAGTACAATGAGAAATAAGGTAACAGTTATGTGCACAATCATTGCAAGTCAATCCAGTAGTGAGTGCTGCAATTGGAAGGTCGGTAGTTCTTGTGTAAGTCTGAGTCATACTGAACAGATCCCAGCTAGACTCTGTAGTCTGTTGACTTACTGATATTTATAGGTAGTTACTACCTATAGTGTAATTACTCATGAGAGTGACAGGTTATTTCATTACAGCATTACCAAAAATACATTTTTATAAAAAATTACCAAGAAATTAAGTACAAAATATCTACAGTTGAAAGCATAAAATTGCATTCAAAGTATATGTAGCTTGAAGCCGTAAAAATTGCATGCAAAATATTTAGATTTCGGCATTAAATAATGCATAGAAGTTGATATGCCACTAAACAAAAACAACAAACCAACCATAAAATAAATAAACCTGTAAACTCAAAGATAAACAGAAAACAAGATGTCGGCATTGATCTTCTCAGTGTGGGAAAACAAATATTCAAAACCTTAACAGAAGTGAGGAATAAATTGCACCATTCCAGGTTTTCAGTTGAAAAATAAAATATTCAGTTTTCTTTGTTTTATATGTGATGTCCTTTTAGAATGTAAGTGATCATGGCTCTCTCTGCATCCTGTTTTTTGTTGCTCTAAACAACTCTTACTTATTTACCACTAACCTTTTGTACTTGTTCTGCTTTCTATTCACTCAAACTCATCAATTAGATTACTTTCCCTTTCCTTCCTTCTTTTTTTTTTTTTTTTGTCTTGGATTTTCTTACCTTCATCATGTCATGTGAGGATTCTCTTTGTTTTTCTTTAATCATTTCACTTCAAGCAAGGTGGGGGCTTCTGATTGGGAGATTTGAGGTTTTGACCAACAATACATTTTATCTGTAGTTAAATATATTTAGTTGAAGGCATACAATTATGTTCAAAATATTTAGATTTCAGCATTAAATAGCACATAGAGGTTGATATGCCACTAAACAAAATCAATGAAACAACCAGCATAAAAGAACTCTTTCATGACATTAATCCATATAATATCCTACAGTTTCTTAAAGAAATCAAACTATATTCCAAAATATAACTTAAACAAAACTACAACATAAAACACACATATCACTGCCTGTAGTAATTATGTTTGCACAAATATGTATATGCACAAAAACTGAGCATCATCTACCTTGTATTCAACTGTGAAAGCAGAATAACATATATCATATTTTTATTACTTCAAAGCACTAAAGAAAATTAAATTTCATCATTAGATGACCCATAAGGAGATATGCCATTAAACAAATCAATAAAAAAATCAAGTAAGGCAATAATGCCACTAAAACACAAGGGGTTACTGAGAGTGAAAGAGAATGAGAAAAGTTTAGAAATAACTGGAAACCCAATCCTATACAGGAAATAAGGGATAAACCTCTACTCTCGTTCAGAAGAACTGGGTGGCATATGAACAGGGCGATAGGCAAACCTGAGCGTCAAATTCTCCAAGACCTCTTTCTTCAGTTTTTTTCTTTTTTCTTTTCTTTTTGTTAGCAGTAGTTTCCTTGTAATTCTTGTTTTCCTTAAAACTTCCTCATTGTTTACATGTTCTATCTGTGGTATTCTCATTTTTCGGTAGAACCACATTAAAGTCTCTTCACCTATTAGGAGAGCACCCAGCATTTACTAGCATATAGATTAGATATTATATAGCTGAAAGAGATCGATGGGTTGTTAAGTTTTAAACAAACAAACAAAAGTTCCAGGTGAATGTTTCAATCAAAGACTCAAGAAAACTAAATTCTCCATGTTTTTTTTTTTTTTTTTTAAGAAATTTTAACAACCCATTCCTTTGTTGCCAATATTTTAATTTCACTCAACTCCATATTCTTCAACTATCCTCCACTTGCCCTGTTCATCAATTTGTTTACTCTTTTCATTGGACAAAAGTTGTATGTTTGTAGTGTTGCTTCCCTATTATTGTTGCTCTTTGCCTCAACCATCGTCCTGGGTAAGACGTTAAACTACATCCGTGTCCTGAGTAAGATGTTAAACTGCATCCAGCAGCAAGGCCTCTGATCCGGAGGTTTTGAGGAACATGGAACCACCTCTTAATTGCTGGTGTTCCCAGGTCCACCCTCACCCGGGGTGGTAGCACCTGTTAGGGTCCCAGCTATGGGCAAATAGTTAACTATTACCAGCAATACTTTTTTTGAAAAAAAAATTATTACCAGCAATACATTTTTGAAAAAATTTTATTACCATCAATACAATTTTGAAGGAAATATATTACCAGAAACAGATTTTTGACAAAACAAAATATTACCAGCAATAAAAGTTTTTGTCAGCATTAAATAACCCATTGAGGTTGATATGCCATTAAACAAAATAAACCAAACTAAATTGTCTCAACCAATTGATTCTTAATCATCTCCAATAATAATGTTGAAGTTATCTCTTAATATTGTTGTGTTTGTCAATATCACAGTATTTTTTTTTTTTTCTTTCTTATTTTTGTACTTCTTTCAGATGGGTTATGGATGCAGGGCACTCCACCTGCTGAGTGAGTACTACAAAGGCCAAATTATCAATCTGAACGAGGAAACCAAAGAGGCAGAACAGGAAATCAAGCCTTTGGAAGACGAGGTAAATTACCAAATGTCTGGAAGATTGAATTTATATGACCTATTTGTGTACAATAGGATTCTTTTTTTTTAGATGGCAGGGTAAACCTTGAATTTGGTACTTGCTTAAGAAGAAATAAAGATTAGGGTTTCTGTCCCCCAAATTAGCCAATGGGGTAGTTAGGTATCTACAGGTAAATTAACAGTTAGAGGCATGGGATGAAAAAATTGGTCCAGTTTGTATTGCTATCTTCATAGAAAGTGTTCAGACAAACTACATTCCTTAGCTCCACTAAATCTAACCTCCGCAGTTAATACACACCATACCATGCACATTATAGTGAACGACCTTCTTCCATTAGTAAGATGTAAGTTTCACTTGAGCAGCTTCTTCCCAAGAATCATTGCTTTGTGGAACTGACACCCAAGAGGATGCTTCCCTGACCACTACAATCTTAGTTTAAGTCTATGGTTACTGCCTTTGTTTTTTTTCTTTTTAGTCACTGACTATAATCACTAAAATTATAATAAGACCTTTTTTGTATACTATAAAACTTAGTTGGTCTTCTGTCGTTTCCTTTACTTCTCTTTATTTTACTTCTTTTGTCGCAGACATGACACCTACATATCCTCAAAAAATGTGCCTTTTACTCAGTAACCCTATACCCTGAGTGACTATTGTACCTTGTACAGGGAACATTAAGTAAAAAAAAAAAATTATATATCCTTGGGAAAGGTATGAATCTATCTATTCTCCCAACGGCTATGGGTTAAATAGCAGGATAGATCGGGCTCTCTTGCTGTAGCCAGTAATCAGTCTAGGAGATGGGGAGATTCTGAATGCAAGGCTATGTATCCCAGGCAACACACTGTACAGCCATGAGCTCACAATTGACTACATCACGGAGTTGTGGATTCTTGACTGAGGTTGACTTTTACTGTAGCCAAGTAAAGCAGTCATATAGACGGCAAACTTGCATGTATAAGAGGCTGCTTTTAAGTAGGATAACTGTGCGTAGCAGTTATTTCATTGATAGGAGGCATGGTGGAGAAACAGATAGCAGCTTGGATTGAGGAACCAGAGAGCTGAATTTGAATTCCACTCGAATCCATTACATTCACTTACATGCTAATACCCTTGGGAAAGGTATGAATCCTCTTTTCCCCCAGCTATGGGTAAATAGCAGGACAGACCGGGTTCTATAGCCTTGGATGGCAATTGGTTTACCGCAGAAAGAAATGGCAACCTACTGCGAGGGGAAAAAAAGGTGCCTCGTCAGTCATGTATTAAAAAATACATGCTCTCCTAAGCATGTATCCTGCATGGCACATAACTGACTGAAAACAAAACTGTATTACCAAAATATTGTAAACCTAGACCCAATGGCGCTTGTGCAGTTTTTCCACTGGCTAGACAGCTGCACCCAATGATGTTTTGATTCCCATTTGTGTTGGTGTGAACAAAAATAGGAAATGGCCCTATATACATTTACAAGGGGAACAAGGATGAAATAACGCCATGATGAAAAAAAAAAAAAAACAAGAATTATGTTTTCAATATATTTCATTCTTTATTCAAAAATTCAAATCCTTCCTCTCTCACTTGCTGACTACAAAACCAACACTTTTATGACCGCAAAAAGTCATCGTTATCAGGCCTGTTAATTTTACATGTGTGTAGAATGCACTCTTCAATTTTGGCATTTGATTCTGATAAAAATTTTCTTGCATTATAAATATTTTAAAATTCTGGCCTAGTCTGTTGCTTTCACTTTAACACAAATACTCTTAGGAATGGCACAAAACCACCTCCTTCCCTACATATGGGTTAAATAGCAGGGTAGACTAGGTTCTCTAGTTTTGGGTGATAACCTATCTAGGAGAGGGAAAACATCAAATTACAGATATCTACTAAGTTCGGGAGTTGGATAAAAAGTCATAAAAATCAGGCACCTGATAAATATTAAACTTGCTGCACAAGCAAATGATCTGTGAGAATGTTTACTAAACATTTAACAGCAGGCATCTTTTCATGGCCTGAAAACTGGGCAGAATAAACAATGTAATATGACTTTATTTTTCCAGCTAAGCATGCAATGTAAGCCTTACTAGTTCACAATCAACAACCATTGAAGCCATGATTGTTGATTTGAGTCACAGGAGAAAGAGATATTGATAGTCGTTATCACATCAAGGCCACCTCCTTTAGGACCCATAACATCTTCCCTAACCAATTAGGAAAGTTGGTTGATGATCAGGCCAGTTGGCTACATGCCAGCACAGAAGTAAAGTTGGTTCAACAGGAATGCTATCAAAGACATCATCCAGAGAATACTTTCTTTAATGTCAACCAAGGTTTTTTTTTTTTTCAGATGCCCTGATTCTGGAAAAGTGTGCTGTTCCTGTGTTGGTCTAATCAGCCACATGAGAGTCCATACACAAGGGCAGATGTGGATGACTTAATCTGGGTATTTGGTCTATGACATTTGTTCCCAACCTTAGTTATGACATTGCCCACTTTCACAAAACGCGCACACACACACGTGTGTGTGTATGTATATATCTATGTGTATATATATATATATATATATATGTGTGTGTGTGTGTGTGTATATATGTGTATAGATATGTGTGTGTATATGTGTATAGATATGTGCGTGTATATATGTGTGTGTGTATATATATATATATATATATATATATATATATATATATATATATATATATATATATATATATATATATATATATATATAAATATGTAAATATATATATACACATGCAAAATATGTGAATATATATATATTTTGTATAAAAAAAAAAAAAAATTCCAAGAGAATAGAATCCAGGTAGAACTCAATGTCCAGGACAGAGTAAGGATATAATAAAAAGGTTTAAACACTAATATTCCATGGTCATAAATATCCCATTGGAATCGTAAATACGATCCAATTCATCAGACCTACAAATTCAAAAAAAAAAACAGAAAAAACAACTCCAGAAATAAAAAATAAAATTTAGAGAGAGTGTAAGTATGAGAGTGTGGGACGAATGTTAGAGCTATAGAGAGGGGTAACAGACGAGAGAAGGTGGGGCATTAAAATTTAACAGAGAGAAGTTTTAAAGAGGGGAGTCAATGACGGTTTAAGTGAGAGAAATCTTAATGTTGTCGGATGTCTAATACATTAAAGATGTAACCAGTAAGGATACATTTTGTGGTGACATACATACACAATAGACGATCTAATCTTTAAGATAAGAAGATGGGCGAGGAAAAGAAAAAAAAAAAAAGGGGTGGGGGGAGACTAAAATGGGGGGGGAATTAAAACCGAAAAGCATTACGATTCCAATGAGATAAATTATGACCATGGAATATTAGTGTTTAAGCCTTTTTATTATATATATAATACAAGTAAAAGGTTTGTCACTTAGCTGATTGATGTTACCTTCAGCATCCCAAATATAGAGTTTTGTCACTGGACCCCTCCAGTAATTACTCTGTCCACTCATCAGTGGGTATCACTAATAGACTGCTTATATTTCTTAGTTTTTCTTTTTTACATGTACATTTCATCAGTACAAGTTTTTTTTTTCTTTTTCGTAATATATGCATGTGTTCATGTGTGTAGAATGTCAAGGTTATTTGCCCTATCCATCATTTTTTTTTTTTTTTTTTCCCATTTTAGACCAACCCACTCCTTAAACTTTTCTCTCTTTTCTCTCAATTGTTGCCATTTGGTTTCTGGTTTTCATAGACATATACTGTCATTCTTAATTTTTGAATATTCTAATGTTTTCCTGTTTTATATATAGCTTAACTAATAATTTTTCATTAATCTTACTGAAACAGTTCAATAAACCAGGATGAAATACCCTACGGACACCTAAAATAATACAGCTGGGTACTGAAAAGTTCCTGGCCTGACCATTAATCTAAAATTATTATCTCAGACTAGTTTTGGCTGCTGTACTCTCTGGCTTTCATCTAAATTCTTAAGATGATCTGTTTACAAACCGATTATTTCAGACTAATTCTCTTGTCTTTGTTGTCTTCATCAAATGTTTCAACCACTATACTCATTGGGATTTTAGGATTTCTAAAAAACCTCAGACACTTTCCCCACAGGTGACCCAACCAGGAGTGATCCACTCCTGGTCAACTTCCTGGTTTCTCTTTGATTGAATCCACAAAATTTCCTCTGAGGTGTGTGTCCTTTTGGAAAATTGGTCTTACACTTACTGTGATTCCTGTTTGCTTATTTGACTTTTAATTGATTCTATAGATTGAATTTCTTTCTTTCCTCTTAGGAAATTGATATACTAATAGAAAAGATTGCTCCACGTCAGAATCTTCCACCTTTACTTTTGAAGTTGTCAGAAAGCAAAATATAGAGCATTTGGATTGGATGGGTCCAGTATTTGGTCTGACACTCATCAATCTGCTCAGGTAAGACTGCTTATATTTTACTTAGTTTTTTTTTTTACATTTTCAATTTCACATCAAGTCAATATTTTTTTCTTTGTAATTAGTGTATTAGCCAAAATGTTTCTGTGTTTATTAGATGGAATGTTTAGCTTTAAGAAACATTAAAAATTATTTCTTTTTTTTTTTTTTCCCATATTTTATCAAAATGGCCATCTTAAACTTTATTGATTTTATCTCTGAAGATGTTGAAAATGAGTTTCTTTTTAGTATGTTATATTTTGTCTTTTTTTTTTTTTTAAACTATTCTAATGCAGTCTTGTCAAAATTAGTTTATGAAATTTAATGTTGATGGTGATTTTTTTTTTCTTTTTTCTTTACAAAATGGATCAGAAATGCCTTGCATATAATGGTAAGACATTAGTGGCAATGGTGTTTTCATCTAGTCTTACCATTATAGGGGAAGTATTTCTGCCACATACTGTACTTAACAATAAGGTTGATACAATCATCTAAAGACATTAGAATAATCAACTAGATAACATGAGTTAGCATAGAATTATCAACCATTGAAAATCATTTGCACCAGTTGTGTTAGTCTTGATCAAATTTCATGTGGGTGGGTATACTATATTGGGATTTTTTTTTTTACAATTCAGTTAATTATGTTTAAGTTAAATAATTGACTTTAAGTATATTCCATGTTTTTTTTTTGTTTTTTTATTTAACTAATTGTATTGGTTTAAGAAAAGTAGATGCTTAAGGCCAGAATTGGTAATTACACCATCCTGTGATTCCTGTTTCCATATTTGTGTATATAATTGATTGGAAGGAGTCCAATTCCATTATATACACATCTGAAGAACATGCTGATAGATTTCAACAAATACTATACCTGTTTAGACCAAGATGAAAAGTTTCAATTTGAATTAATACAAAAAAAAGTATAAATTTCATTTGGATTAAATGGTGTGTCATTTACTTGAACAATTTTTTCTTCAGGCAAACTTGTTACAGCTTAGCTTAGAAGTTTTTACTTTTACTTTTTTTTTAATGTCACCTGTTTTTTATGCTTGACATCCAAGTCAATATGAAAAAAAAATAAATTGATGTAGACAACTCTATCAAATGGAGTTACTGAGTTTATTAGATGGATATTTTGTTTAAAGTTTGAAACATTAAAATTATTTGGTTTTTAGGACTTTTTGGAAAACACTGGAAACAAAAGGTTGAATAAAGAAGGCTTTAATCATATGAGGATATGTATTGAGGATAGAGTAGTTCCATGCAACAAGCATGTAACTGGAAAACACTATGCCTTTGGTGACTCACTTTTTACCCTATTTTCATCTCAAAATCCATGTTTCAATAATAAGTGTAGAGAAGGTTATGTAGTCTTTCTACACAACAATATTTCAGTTTGTACATATTGGTAGGGAAGAGCATAAAAAAGACAAGTGAAATATTTTATCAGAATATAATTTTAGAAGACATTTGTGCTATATGGACAAATACCTTCAAGAAGTTAAATTTATTTGAAATTTAGGATAATTTTAATTCACACTGTACATTTCAGACTTTTGAAATGATATCCATCTCATCTACTTCAAACAACTAGATAACTACTTTTTTCCTCTTTTATTTTGGTTTTTTTTCAACTCTTTTGAAAATCTTTTTGCACCTTTTTTTTTTTCTTTTTTTCCCTCTTCTTTTTTTTTTTTCCCTTTTTTTTTTTTTGGATCCTATTTATACTTTTCTTTCCTGTTTTTTCATTTTTTCCCCTTTTTTCTTTGTCTTTTTTTTTTCCCTTTTTAAATCTCTTTTTGACTTTAAGTATATTCTTTTTTTTTTTTCTTCTTTTTTTTTTTTTTTTTTTTCTTTTTATTGGTTTTTTTTTTTTTCTTCTTTTCTTTTTTTTCTCTTTTTTTCTTTTCTTCTTTGTCTCTTTTTTTTTTCCTTTTCTTCTTTGTCTCTTTTTTTTTCCTTTTCTTCTTTGTCTCTTTTTTTTCACCTTTTCTTCTTTGTCTCTTTTTTTTCGCCTTTTCTTCTTTGTCTCTTTTTTTTCCTTTTTTTTCTTCTTTTTTCTCTTTTTTTCTTTGTCTTTTTTTTCTTTTATTCTTTTTGTTTTTTTTTCACCTTTTCTTCTTTGTCTCTTTTTTTTTTTTTTTTCTTTTCTTCTTTTTTTTCGTTTTTTTTTTTCTTTTTTTTTTTTTTTTTTTTTTTTTTTTCTTCTTTGTCTTTTTTTTCCCTTTTCTTGTTTGTCTCTTTTTTTCCCTTTTTCTTGTTTGTCTTTTTTTTCCCTTTTCTTGTTTTTCTCTTTTTTTTTCCCTTTTCTTGTTTGTCTTTTTTTTTTTTTTTTCCTTGTTTTTCTTTTTTTTTTTTTTTTTTTCTCTTTTTTTCCCTTTTCTTGTTTGTCTCTTTTTCTTTTCCCTTTTCTTGTTTGTCTCTTTTTTTTTTTCCCCTTTTCTTGTTTGTCTCTTTTTTTTCCCCTTTTCTTGTTTGTCTCTTTTTCCTCCCTTTTCTTGTTTGTCTCTTTTTTCTTTTCCCCCTTTTCTTCTTTGTCTCTTTTTTTTTCCCCTTTTCTTTTTTGTCTTTTTTTTTCCCCTTTTTTTCTTTTGTCTTTTTTTTTTTTCCTTTTTTTTTCTTTTTCTTCTTTGTCTTTTTTTTTCCCCTTTTCTTCTTTGTCTCTTTTTTTTTTCCCTTTTCTTCTTTGTCTCTTTTTTTTTCCCCCCTTTTCTTCTTTGTCGTTCTATATGATAAACAGAGAAAATCAAGTGTTAGATTAGTTTAATACTTGATAAATAGTAATAGGAATTCTTCAATTTTACTTGTCCTAATCTATAATAATAATAATGATAAATTAAGACAATTTAGTGTCCCTTTTTCCAAAATACTGGTCAATATAATTAAAAAAAATATTTATATGTGTATATGTTTCTGATTTTATGAAAGTCTTTCTAGCAATGCTGATTAAAATACAGACTGAAAGAAACAAGGATTGCAATTAACCGTTTTTATTTGCCTGATGAGTTTTTATTCCTTCATAATTAATGGCATCTATTTCAACAATCATACTCAATAAACCTTAATTGGCTTTTATTGTTAGTGTTTGCACTCAGTTACAACCACACAAATAATTTGCTAAATATATCAATAAAACTAGCAAGGTCACTTGGTGCTGTCCCAGTTTTTAAGGTTTTAAGATTTAAATAAACTATTGTTTAGTGGATTTGTTTCTGAGTTGACTAAAAACAACAATCAGTGAAATAAAATGATATTTTTTTTTTCTTTAATTTTAAGGGGAGGTAATATTGTAATAATTTATTGCATTGAAATCAGTTCAAATTAAGTTGTCTGTGAAAAGACCATGGAATCAGGAATGGTAGATATATATATATATATATATATATCTGGGTCAAGAAAACCTTTTCAGTAGACAAGGTCGAACAATTTTATAAACTTCAATCTTCCATTTTTTATGTTTTCATAACTTTATAGATACAAAATTTAAACAAATGACGTCATTTATTATGAGAAAACAGTATTAAATAACATTTATTTTGAAGAATAAAGAAATTTTTTCCTGAAACGAATATTTTTAGAAAAATATTTTCTGAGAAAATTCTCGGACATTCAGGCCAGTAAATGTTATTTAATACTGTTTATTATAAACAGAGCATTTGCTTAAATACTTGTATCTATAAATAACAACGTTAAACATAAAAAATGTCTTTAATAAATAAAATATATATATATATATATATATATATTGTTTTTAATCTTTTCACTCTAAGCAAGGTGATAATGTCACTAGGACAGAAGGAGTTACTGGGCATGCAAGAGAATAAGAAGAATTTAATGAGGAGAAAAGGCAATAAAAGAACACAATTCCAGAAGACAAAAGATTGTGATTGGCATTACATTTAAATTTTTGAAGATTGTAGGTGTCAAGAATCAAAAAATCAGAAGGGAGTTCTGCAGGTGAGAAAAGGAAACTGTTAGAATAAAACATTTGGTTACTGAAAGCTAGTTCAGCAGTAAAATGGTGAAACCTAGTTGCCAATCTAGTAGAAGGCTTAAAAAGATCATCAAAACAATTGTCATGAAAATATTTATAAAAAAATACAAAGGAAAAACACATCACAGCAGTGAGAAAGTGACTGAATTTGAGATACCAGGTTAGGAGAGGCAATGGAAACATGCCAACCACTATTGAGACACTTAAAAAAAAAAAAGTAAATTAAAAGAATCAGTGCATATGTTATGCTTAAAAAAAGTCCAGGCACTAAGCATAAGGATGTACTTCTGCTTAAGACTCCATAATTTTAGAGACCACACATTAAGTAATGCAATAAAGCCACCAAGTTGCAGGAGGTTACTGAGTGTGAAAGAATTATAAGAAAAAGAAAAACAGTATTAAGGAATGAAAACAATAAAAGAACAGGAATTCAGAAGACAGAACATAATGATTGACAATGCACTAAAATTTTTCAAGATCAATGTTGACTGGAAAGCAAGAAACTGGAAGAGAAGCACAAGTGAGAAGTGCAAGAGTTAACTGTTAGCATATAATTTACAGTTACATTTAATCATTTCAACTGTAAAATAAGACATTGCCACCAATCAAATAGTGCACTTAAATTCATAAAGTCTGGGTACCATCGAGGAAAGTTCATCAGAACAATTGCCATGAAAATATTTATAGAAAAGAAACAGGGAAGCTACATTATGGCAGTGGGAAAGTGTCTGAAGGCGAGATGCAAGGTCAGGACCAGATTCTTCTTTGGATATTATCAAGAATCTCTAAATATATAGCAGGAGCACCAGACCATATCTGACAGCAGTAGTGAAAGCAAGGTTGAATGATAGACTTATAAATATGTAAGATAGATTCTGGTGAGAAAAATTTAAATCTCAATATAGACGCTTAATTTCCAACTACAGGTAAACACCTATAATTAACTGTAAAAGAATGAGGCCACCATAAGTTTAGCACACATCCAACTGGTAGTTGTATGTTTTGCATCAGTGTTTGAACTCTGTTGAAAAGCTAGGATTTTTGAATGCTGATATTTAGGGCACCAGACTCTCCCCCATTTGGAAGATGAATGCTACACAATATTCCTTTGTATTGTTTTTTCCCCTCTTCTCCTATACTAAAACTGAGCTTAAAAAAAAAAAAAAAAACTATACTCAAATAAACTAAGATCTTACATTCACATTGTTAGAGTCTAGTCTGTAAATTGTGCAGGGATTCACTTTAACTTAACCTCCTCATGCAGTAATTGATAGAAAGCAAATATTGATATCCTTAGTCATTTTGAACAGTGATCAGCCACCCTTGTTTAATGCTTGGAACTTCACATTTCTCGTTCCCAAGGCTTTTCTGGCATTATCACTGCCTCCCTCAAAGTTTGCTAGAAGGTAGAAACAATTGTTTTGGGAAAAAAAACCTGCAAATGATGTATAGATACCAAGTATTGAATATTAGCAATTGTAGGAAAATGTTTGTCGCAATGATATTCCCCTCCTACTCCTCTCACTCTCTATCTCTATTACTCCTCTCTCTATTTCTATTTCTATCTCTCCTCTCTCTATCTCTCCTCTCTCTCTCTCTGTCACTTCTCTCTCTATCTCTCTCTCTCTCTCTGTCACTTCTCTCTCTATCTCTCTCTGTCACTTTCTCTCTCTCTCTCTCTCTGTCTCTCTCTCTCTCTCTTCTCTGTCTCCTCTCTCCTCTCTCTCTCTCTCTCTATCTCTCCTCTCTCTCTCTCTGTCACTTCTCTCTCTATCACTGTTACTCCCCTGTATCTTTCTCGCCAACCCCTCTGCATCTTTCTCGCCAACCCCTCTGCCTCTCTTTCTCTCTTTCCAAATACAATAGATGCATAACTTTATCCCAAATGCTATGAAGGGGAATAACTCTAAGTTAATAAATTACAGTTTTCCCCCCTTGTCAGTTATTTAGTATTTATCAAAATATGTTCTTTAATAAGTCCATTTGTCTGAGATTTACACATAGTTAAGCTTTGATTTTTCAGGGAGTTACTTTAAATATCAGGAAGGAACAAAATAATTCATAAAATTTTATTTTATCGTTAAAATCTTTGTACCTTTATTTTATGTAACTCCATGAGATCGCTCAAAAAAAAAAAAAAAACATAGCTTGATGAAAAAGACGCCAAACTTGACGAAAACAAAATTTAATCGTCTAAATGTTTATTATGAAGAGGAAAGACCAAAGTTTTTTTTAATTATTTTTAAAAAATTTTCGTTCTTTTTAGAACATTCTAAATTTTAATTTAAAAAAAAAAAAAAACTTTGTTTCTCTTTGTATCACAGGAACTAGTAAAATAACATAGGCAATTTTTAGCACGTATGATACTTTAATTTGGAAAATCTTGCAAAATTAAAAATAATCGTCGGATGTTAATGAAACTTTCAGAAACTATTCATAGATGATGGAAATTATTATAGATGTCTTTTTTTTATTAAAGTCATGGCAGAAATTTTTTTTTATATTTATTACCCTCCCCCATAACTAATTTTATGAAAACTCTAGAAATTCGCTCGAATCCAGTTTAGTGATTTGCATTCCTCAAAGCCTTGTGCTTTTAACTAATTAAGGCTTTAAGGAATGCAAATCATGTTTTTTTTTTTTTTTTTTTATTGGATAGCCGCCTGAAAATCAGCTCTGAATTGTAACATACAAAACTCAATAAAACAAAGATATTATTTAATTTTAAATGCTTTTATTTGCTTCTTATGAATATGGACAATATTTTCTGAAAGCAAAAAATTTTTTCAATAAAAAATGAATTTTTAATATAATTATTTGTTATTTCTTTAATTATAATAGATTTTTACATTTAAGTTGTTAAAATATTATAAAATTAGTTAAAAGCTGCATCAGGTTTCCTAAGTGTCCTTATGAGATTCTTTTTTTAGAATGTTGTAAATTGTATCATTTTGACTAATCAGATGATCCACAGTAATTAAGAAATGTAATTTTGTGTTTATAATCAGGCTGTAATTATAAAGTATGGAAGACCAACCAGAATACAAATAAGTCGCGTTATTTGAGTTAAGCATTGTCCTCTGCTGTTAAGGCCTTTACTTTTGCGAAACACGTGTGGAGAAGTTTATTTGATTTTTCAATTTCAACTGAGAAGGGTACCTAAAAGTATCAGTATCATCTTAGGAAATTTATAGGATCTTATTTTTATATTAATCTAAGATATCACATTTTTTCCATAAATGAAATATCAAAATTAATAATAAAATGAATGGAAATACAAATAACACAGTAAAATGTAATAAATGTAAATAAAATTATAGTATTTTATGTACACTTCTGATAAAATTTCATAAGAAAGGTACCTATAAATTAGATACCTTTCTTATGAAATTTAATCTCACTCTTAACAGTCTTATTTTAATTTCTTTATAATATATTTTCCATAAAGCATCGTAAACGTAAAGGTGAAAGCTAAGTACAAAAAAAGATTACAGCGCTAAAAGTTTTCCTTAAAAATAACGAGGTAAATAATTTTTTCACTTAAATGTAAATAACTTCACTTTTCTCCTTCCGTAGAACAAATTATCCTCACGTAATCCATCAATACGTTATTCATCACCAGTCAAGTGATGCGAAAGGTTATGACCTGCTTTGTTTTATTTTTGTCACAGAAGCTAAGTTAAGCTTGGTTCAAAATATTTTAAATAAATATTATAATTTCTGATTTTCTTAAAATAAG